TTCGACTTTCCCGATCGGGTCGGTTTTAGTCTTCGGTTTGGTCGTGTGCTCGTTGCAGCGGCGCCGCAGAGGACATCATCATGACAGTAAAAAGAGATCCATTACCACTCACGCGTTTGTGATCATACAACACGCATCTGTGAGGGGAGCTCCTCATGTTAAATTAAAGGCCCTCGCAACGAGTTGGGGACGGGAGGAGGGGAAGTGGGGGGGGGGGGGGGGGGGGGGGCACGGCCAGCGCAACACGAAGCATTCAAAAGCGGACACGCGCGGTCGGGCAACGCGCGATACAGCCACGCACAATGGGTCGAGGCACCGCGGCCGACCACACGAAGCCTCGGACATTTTCGAGGCATTTTTCAGCAAATAAAGTAAAAATTAAAGGGCAAGCTATCAGGATTCATGGGACGTACGAGCGCACGTGCGCTCGAAAAGTGGTCAAATTAGTCGTTGAATAAGTGGGCCAAAAGTTTATGGAATTAAATTTAAGCCGTTGTCGTGTGCAGCATGAAAATGTTCATTTTAATCAGTCTTATCGAATTGAATCTGATTTGCTCGATCCACAAATATGTCACGGGATAGTCCTTTTTCACGGACCCCTGCCCAGAGTGACAGCGCAACGAGCCTAGGACGAAGGAGGTTAGGTTAGGTCAGGTTAGGTTAGGTTAGGTTGGGTTCGAACGAGCAAACGAATCGAAACGAATTCGTCGCACATTCGTTCAATCAGCAGTCCAGCTGAGCAGGCCGTAATTAGAGCTCCAAGGCGGGCCGGGCGGGCTGGTGCTGCCTCGGCACTCGGCGCCACGCCGACACGTTGACACGTCGACTCCACTGTCAAAAAAATAAAGTTCAATCGACTAAAATTTAGTGGATTGTACTAAGAAATTTAGTCGTTTTTCAGGGCGACTAAGAATTAGTAGAATTAAGAACACGCCAATCGAGTATGAGTGGACGATAAAAACGACCAAATATTAGTCGAATCAAACAAAACTTAGTCGAAATTTTGACCAAAATATTTAGTCAGTTCCCTTTAGTCGGCTCTTGTGATGTAAGCGGCGGTGACGTCACACCATTTGGAGACTTGATGACGATTTTCTTAGTTTTAGTTGATTCGATCTCCTCGAGATCCTTTTGAGATTACTAAGAACTGCCTCCTCTCCTATTGGTTGGAGAGAATCACGTGACCACACGACCTCCTTCTAAATGTGACGTCAGCGTCCCAGAGGCACTGACACTTAATTAAAGAGTCGAAAAATCGGAGCCTCTGGCGGGTGTCGAACACGCATACCCTGACACGTCGTGCGACAACGCTAACCACTGCGCCACCGACTTGATGGAGGCTGCCTGGCCGAGCGCAGCATGTTGACGGACCTCGCAGGGTGGGCAGCGACTACACTCAACTAAATTTTAGTTGACTCGACTAAGAATTAGTTTTAGTTCGAATGACCAAAACCAATTGGTCGATTGTACTTAATTTTTTTGACAGTGTCGGGGACGCTATTCAGCCCTTTCGGCTTTCAGCGCGGACTGCAGGCATTGAAGCGGGCCGGGGCCTTGGCTGGGGCCACGCCGGGCCGGGCCACGCCCCCGCACCGTGCCGACGAAAAACTTGGACCCGTCGGTGAACAAGTTCGCTGAGGCAGCGATCGGCATACTACGGAACGCCCTCGGAACGGACGTGAGCGTGGGGGCGGGGCGGGGCGGGGCGGGGCGGGGCGGGGCGGGGCGGGGCGGGGCGGGGTGGGGCGGGCACGCCCGCTTCATCTCCTTCTGCACTGCCACCTGCACCATTGGGACCACGCGGCACGCAGAGGCTCCCTCAAGTTTTATGTACTGCTGTCCGAAATCTCTCGGCCCGCGCCGCCCGTCCGCGCCTTCACCTCGAGTGGGCAGGGAATGTGCGCCAGTCTGCGGCTTGCGAAGCGCAAGAAGCCGTCGCCGACGCAGTGTCGCTAACGCAGTGCCACCATCTAACCTAACGCCACCACCACCACCTCCCATCTCGACGGAGTTCTTTTCTTCTTCTTTTCTCCCCGATGGGATTGCTCCTCCCCCGAACGGCCCTCGTTCGTTATGCCCTCCACGTGCTGCGAGGCTCCAGGCTCGGGAGATCAGGTACGGCAGCACGGCCTGATGCCGCCCGGCCAATATATAGAAGCGGGTGGGCGGGGCGGGGCGGGCGGCGCCAGATGAGAAAGCAGGGGCCGCGCCTCGCTACACACGGCGAGGGCACGCCGACGGCACGCTGACGGCCGGGGTCGCCAGCCTCCCCTAACGCCCCGCCCCGCCCCGCCACGCCCCGCCCCGCCATGCAGGCGATGTCACGGCCCGCCGCTCCCGCCCACCCAGTGCGTCCGGGTGTAGGCCCCGTGTCTCCCGCGGGGACCTTGTTGCCTCATGGAATGGGATGGCCTCTCACAAACATTTTGTCGATAAGAGGAAAAAGCGAAAAAGCAAAAAAGAACGGCAAGACAAAGAAAAAGAAATAGAGGAAAAAGCAAGCAGAGGATGTCGGCGATCCCTCGTTTGTTCCTCTCGACCCCTCCAAGGCCCCACCAAGGCCCCGCCAAGCCCCGCCAAGCCCCGCAGTGCATCGTGCAGCCCCCGCAGGTGGGCGGCGGCATTCCAGTGGCGCGGCTTTGCGGCACAGTAATTAAACATGCCTGTGCCCGAGCGGTGCCCGGCCCCCTGCCCCGGCCCCCTGCCCCGGCGCTCTGCCCCGGTGTACTATTTCTCGTGTAATCCGCGATCTCCTCCGGCCAGGCCGTGCGACCCCGGCGACCCGCGTGACCCTTCCCTGACCCCGTGCAAGCTGGCGAGTCACGTTGCAGACGGCGCGGTCCCCTCGGGCGCACCGCCACGCCACCGTCCCCGGCCCCGGAGTCTCGGACCTCGGAGGCTGCCGACCTCGAGGCCGATAGTGAATCACCTGCCCACTCATTCCGACTAGGTTCTGTTAAGTTAACCCTGCACCTCCTTGATTCGTCGGTTTGCTCCTGGCTCGGCCGAGCGCCTGCGGGGCCGCGGATAGGCATCACGTCGTGCGGCCCTGTTCGGCGGGCTGGCCTACCCGGCGGACGGCAGGCGGCCGGCCACGACGTCGCCGTCAAACATCAAATGTGTCCCATGTCCCACCGCTGCTGGATTGACATATCAACTGCACCCTTCATGCGAGTGTGTGCGTGTGTGCGAGAGTGTAGGTGCACGCGCACCCCGTTTCGTTTCGTTTCGTTTGATAAACCACGCCGCTTGTTACTTAGGCCCGATGACGTGGCCGCCTTTTTTGGCCGGCGCCCTCTCACGGCAGGGCACGGCGGCGCGGTGCGCGAACGCGAAAGGGGCAAGCGCCGACAAGCCGCTTTGGCGGCGCCCCAAACAATCAACGCGCCCCATGAGCCGTGGTGCCGCGCGGCCCCCCGTGTGGGGAGGCTGAGGCGGGTGCCCGTACGCCGACAGCCCACGACAGCCCGCGACAGCCCGCGCGGCCTGCATTTGTCAGCCTGTCAGCGGCGCGCGCCCGGACCGCCACCCCGCCGCGCCGCCGCGCCCCGCCTCGCCCTGCACCCTGGACCGACCACACCGGTAATGGCCTTGTTGTCACGCGGACGGCGCGGGCGGCGCGGACGCGGCGGTGGGTTTAAGCGAGGGATCTGCGGCGGCAGCGCTCTTCCTGCTCCGCTCCTGCCGCCATGCTGCCGCAGGGGCCTAATGGTGACGCGATGACGTCACGACGCCGAGGCTGCCTGGGACGGTCGCCCGGCCCGGGTCGACCGGACAGCGGCGCAAGTGGAGTGGGGCGGACTGGCCTACTAATTATGGCCGTGTTCGGTGCGGCCGCGGTGATCAAATCGGCATTGACTGCCAGCCCCGCCAGCCCCGCCGGCCCCGCCCGCCCTGCGGCTGGCATTAACTATCTGCGGCGCCGCAGCAGCCACCCTGCAGACCGCAGAGGCGCAGCGGCGCAGCGACGCAGCCAGCCCGCCGGGCCGCCAGCATGGCTTCATAATGGCGGCAGCGCGGCAACATTTTTCCGCCATTCTGACGGAGTGGCTCTCCTCCAGCAGCCACAGTGCTTCCTCGCCCGCGTCTCTCACTGGAGTCTCTCGGGCGGGCGGTCCGCACGGGTGCGAGAGAGATAGGGCTTCGAAACGCCGCTCGGATGCCACCCTTTCCCCACTGGGCCGCTGGGATGGTGCAGGCCTCGTGCAGGCAAGGCGATGGAAGCCTGGTTGTTCTGGATGGCTCAGCCTTTGGAACATCAGTGCGCGCCACACGACGCCACACCATTTTCATCCATTGCTTTTCAATGAACGGGACGCCATATTCGTGTGAATGTGAGAGGCGCCACATCCGTCTGAATGTTCTTTTTGCATTCGTTTCGGACGAGACTCAAGTATCAACCTCGTGTCGCTGAGGCCAATTCACCGCCAAATGAACGTGGCATCCTATTCAAGCAAACGTGACACTTTCACCGAGTTTCGGCGAACGTGACGTCACATTCATCGAATAACAGCCAATCAGCAACACCCTTTGAAATGGTGAACCCCAGCGCGTGTCCGACTGTCCGACAAACAGAACGAAGAAAAAACGAAGCTTTTGGCTCAACTAGCGGAGCACCATTGGCTGCTGCAAGCGCCGTGCGGCCATGATGGGGCTGTTCTGCCGGCGGCGGCGGTCTCAAGAGCATTGCGGGGCAAAGAAGCGGGAAGATTGATCGGAGGCGCCAAGCCTCGCCAGGCACGACGTCAGGCTCGAGGGGAAATTACCCCCAAAGACACTCGAATGTATCGGAGTTCGGGAATGTCAGAAGTCGGAGTCCGCAAAAGCTTTCACGGGAAAGACAGCAAAGAGTGTGCACACTGTGTGCAGGCCCATGCTGCGGAAGTGCAGGCGACAGGCGTTCGCCGCCAAATGCACCGCACATCCAGCACCACAACATGCGTTGCTCGGTCTGGCGCTGGCAGGCGCTGGCAGGCGCTGCCTGTTGCTGTGGTAGTTACCTGACGAGCCGGTCTTGCTGCCGCTGTTGCCGTTGAGCGAGCTGAAGAAGCCGCCCGACAGCTTGGAGCGGCGGAAGATCCAAAACATGGTGCTGGTGCGGTGGTAGCGCGCGGGGTGTCCGGGTAGTTCGCGCAGTCAGCGGACTGACATATGCCGGCGCAGTGCCGCGGTCGGTGCTGCCGCCTCGGAGTGTCTAGTCCGCGGGGGTTGCCGGTGTAGTCTTGGTGGGGCGGCGCTCGACTGCGGGCTGCCTGTGGCTGTCTCCCTCTGGCGCGGCTCTGCGCGGCACTGTCTGCCTCAGTCGGCGCGGCGCCACCCCCTCTCTCGCGGCGCCCCCTCCACCACGCCAGGCCCACCTGGGTGCGCCCTCGCCGGGGGTGCGCGCGGGCGGGGCGGGGCGTGGCGGGGCGTTGCGGGGCGGGGCGGGGTAGAGATTAGGGCCCGGGGGGCCCTGGACGTCTGCGGCGGGACGCGGGACGAGACGCTGGAGCGCGAAGCGGACTGCTGGCTGAAGTCTCAGGACTGATTTTTTGCCACTCCCCGCCCCGCGCCCCGCGCTCGGTTTTCATGATTCGCTGTCACAGCAAACTCGCCCTCACGAGTCCGACCGCAGGGCTATTATTTTCCAGTGCCGCCGCGCCGAGCCCAAAGTTTGTCGCTGTTTGATTGCCTCAACAGGGCACATACAATGTGCGCGGTGGCGCCGGTTGTGCGTTAATATTTATTCGCATCCACTCGCCCTGTCTGTTCCGTGACCGAGCGCTGCGGAGCGCTACCGAGCACTGCCCGCGCAGTGCTACCTTCGCCGCGCTCGGGATACTTCTCAGTCACTTCCAGCGTGGGCTAGGGAATCAGAGGGTTTGCTATGGCCGTGCACGACGTGCCCAACCAATCGTTGCGCCGGAAAATCGGGACGGAAATGGAGAGGAAATGCTCGTTGAGGTGTCGAGGCGTAAAACTTGGGCGTTGAGTTGATTTTGCTACATAGCAACCATATGGTTTCGGTGTTGCGGTTGCTCTGGCGCGAATTGTGGCAACCAGTGGTGGTTGCCGCTGGATGCCTCACTGCCGACGGCTGCACTGAGAGGCCGGAGAGGCCGGACAGGCATGCCGCGGGGCATAATCTCTGCGGCGCTCTGCGGGGACAAGAGCCAAGACAGACCGGACGGCTCATCCAGGCTCATGAGAGATTAGCAGAACCCAATCAAGTCGAGCGCGGGCCGGTAGTCCGGTACACCGGTAACCGATGCGGCTGCGGATGTCGGCCTGCTCTGCTCCCTGACAGGCCCCGTGCCCGTCGCGCTGTACCCTAGTTTCACCCCTGAAAGGGAAGGTCAAACGTCGCGCTAGGGTTTTATATTTTCTGGAGCTGATTCGAACCCTCACGGCGGCCTTGCACACACCACCTGTTGCACGTGTCGCCCGGTGGAAGGGAGGGGGGAGGGGTGGGGGTGAGATAAGACAGTCCATCACCGTCACTAGGATTAATCAGGGCGGAGGAGGATGTCGAGCCCTCCCCCCCCCCCTCCCCCCTCCTGCGACACCTCGCGCGATGACGGCAGCGCTTCTCCTTCTTCTTCTTCTTTTTCCTCCTCCTCCTCCTCTTCTTCTTCGTTGCTAGTGCATGCGGAGTGTAGTACACCTCCATATTGTCGCCTATCCAGAGTGGCAAAGACGGGTGTGACGCGCACGCAGCCACAGCCGCGTGCAGAGCAAGCATACAGTGGTGTGTTCCCTGCACACACAGCTCAGCACAGCGTTGGCCGGTGCGCTGGGTGTGCTGTGTGCGGAGCAGTGCGGAGCCGAGACTGCTCCAGACAACACCACGGCCCGGCCCTGTCGGCTCGGCCCCGGCAGGGTAGGCAGCCCAGCCGCCACACTGCTACACAGGTCGGTGTGAGGGCATTAAGTCTCCCCCCGGACGATTCATCCGGGGGAGCATTTATCCCGGGATGAATGCTCCCCCTAATATGGCATCAGAAGGGAGAGTATTTATCCCGGGATAAAGTCAAGTAACCGAGGGGAGTGTTTATCCAGGGATAAATGCCCCGCCCCCTTCGTTTTCGTTGTCGTTTTCGTTTACGTTTTCGCGTTTTCGTTTTCGCCAGACAGCCAGACGGGGGCGGCTGGGCTGGGCTGGGCTGGGCGTTCGCCTGCAGCCTGATTCCGAGACCCTTTTTCGTCACTGTGTCTCTCTCGCACCCGTAGGGGATCCCCATCGGTGCGAGAGAGAAAAGAGCGACGGAATCAGTCTGCTGCCTGTTTTGCAGTCGCCGGCTGCAAGAAGACGCGCAGCCAGCGACTGGCCAACCACGCCAACCACGCTCGGGGCCCCGCCAAAAAGACAATAACATGACGGTGGTGCCGACAGAATCCAATTTGTGAAGCAGTTTTAAAAGTCCCCCTCTCCTCCCTTCCGTCGTGTTGTCGGGCGGCTTCGGCTTCGGCACGTCGTAATGAGCGCCAGACACCCGGAGCGGCCCGGACGGAATTGAATTCAAGACGGAGATGGACGAAGCCAAAGTTAATGAATCAGGGAGGGGCGGCGGGGCGCGCCTGGGAGGCCCCGAGGGAGGCACCCGCTGTGAAATATGCACACTTCTCGGCCAGTGCGTCCAGGTCGTTGTCCCGTCTAGAGCCGTTCTGGCTGTATGGTCAGAGCAGGGGTTGTCAAATGGGTGTCCAATTAAACACATGATGTTGTCAATGTATATGAGTAACCACCAAACCGTACTGAAAGACTGTTTTGCTCAAAGTGTGTCTGTCTAAACGGCTCCTGTCGCAAGTCGAGTCTCCATCACTGCGGCGTCTTCGTCGCCCTCGTCGTCCTCGCCGTCAGAGACCGACTCCTTTACTTAAGACGGCACGGCCAAACTCAGCGCAAAATCGAATCCGCGCCAAACCACGTTAGCAAAATTGTTTCTATAACAAGATGTTGGCGAATAATGCCGCAGAGAAAATTGGTTTTAGGCGGGCAGAATTAGATTGTGCGCGTCCGCGCGGCGACACGGAGGAATAGTGCACCCCTTCCCCTCCTGCCTGTCCCTTCCCCGCTGGCCTGGTCTCCTTTCCAAGGCCTCAATGATTACAAGGGCTGCTCCAGCTGCCCCCTCGCCGTGCCTCATTCCTGCTGTACTCGTTGTACACAGAAGCCTTTGATTGGGATGGCCATGGACGGGCCATGGATGGGCCGTGGATGAGGCGACGGCAACGCCAGCGTCATTAAAAGGCTTCATTACCACGAGTGTCACAGTGCCACAGTGTCGCGGCCGTCACAGGGCCGTCACCCCTGCAGCTTCCTTGTCCGGTCGATCTTGATGTCGATGTGGAACTTGATGACGGTCTTGCCGTCCGCCGACCAGGTGTTGGACAGGCGCCACTGGTTGCCCGGGATGATGACGGGGAAGTAGTTCTCGTTGGGGATGTGGTTCCGCAGCGAGTACAGACCCTGCGAACGGCCGGGACGGCCGGAAGGACAGTAACGACACTCGTTATTCAACAGTCCAGGTCCGCGTGACCGCCCCGCCCCGCCCCACCCCGCCCCGCCCCGGGCGTACACGCCTGCGCGCACCTCCTTGATGGGGCAGGCCTTGGGCAGCGAGGACCGGGAGTAGCCCAGCGCCTTGATGGAGGGCCGCTTGCTGTGCAGGTCGTCGCACACCGTGGCGCTGCCCTTGATGCTGCTGGCCTTGTAGTTGCCGTCCACCTTCTCCATCATGTTCCACTTGGACTGTCAGGGGGCAAAGAAAGAAGAGTTGAACGCAGACTGGAGCGAGTGGTCCGGCACCTCGAACCGGCCCAAACAGTGGCGGCGCCCAGCTCCCGGGCAAGAGGGGAGCGACGCGACGCACCTGCACGTCAGTGGTGAGCTCCTTGAGGAGGTCCAGGTCCCACTCCACCACGTTCATGGTCTTGTTGACGGTGCGCATCTTCATCCACGTCTTCTCGGCACCGAACCACTCCGGGTCCGTCTCTTCGACGGCGGCGTCCTCCACGAACAGCCTGTACGACCTCTACAACGAACGGCCAACAGAATTAGTGGGAGAAATATTCCGTTTTGTTTTTATATTGGTATACGGTTTTTGCTCCAAGTGGGTTTCCTTCCGGGCTTTAAAACAAAAACATTGTCGCTCCAAATTGAGTTTCGGAAGCCACTTTTCAAGCTGAGACCGTACCTAACTCGAACAAAAACAGACTAGTCGGTATCATAATGAAGTATACACTCATTTCCTGTGCACTGCCCCGTGCACCTGATGGCTTGTTTTACGTCAGTAGTAAAAGCAACTTTGTCGACACGGTATGTTGTGTCATCGTGCCGTAATGAACACAGTGCACACTTCAAGCTCGATAGGGCCAAAAAATCAGGGTCAAAAAGTCTCGTCCTTATTGTTAAAATAAAATACGAAATCAAAACAGAACGGGGTGTCTACTTCAAGTTTGCTGCGTCTGAGAAGCGGGCCTCACCCAGTGCATCTTCTGGTCTGGTCGAGTTTTAGACTATCAAGACAACAACGCATCAAAATATGATAGACAAAATAAATTTTGTCATTAAAACCCTTTAGCGACTCAACTGTTGGGTAACTTTCCGATTACGAGGAATACTGTATCATGTTTGTCAGAAACAGAAAGGTCACGTTTCCCTACCTCCGCCTGTGCCGGTGCGACGAGCACCACTGCGCCCAGCGCGAGCGCCAGCAGCGCCAGCACGAGCGGCGCGCTGGACCCGGCGGCGGCGCCTCGGTCCATGGTCGTTGGCTGGCAACGCCGGGAGGACTAGCAGTGAACCGCTGGTGCCTGGTGCTGGCCGTGCAGGCAGTCTGCGTGCCGTGTAGCCCTCCTGGCCCCGTCGCGTGCTCCAAACTGCCGCCCCGCCCCGCCCCGCTACCGCGCGCTCAGCGCGATCTCTCGATCCCCGGGCGATAGCGTCCCCGATGCCGACACAGGCGCCATCAGCGCCAGCGGAGCGTCACAGTTTGATGCAAATTGGTGCAACTGGGAAATAACTCTACATGTCGTCAGAGTAAGCGAGTAAACACATTTATGGGTGTCAAGAAATTTTACTGAGTTATAGTCCGTCGACACCGGACCGATTTTGATGCAATTTAGTGTCTACGTTATACTTTTGTTTTCTCCTGATTTGGTCACAGAGTGGGGTCGCCGACAGACAGACAGACAGACAGACAGACAGACAGACAGACAGACAGAATGACAGGCAGACAGACATACAGACCCTTCAGACAGCACCCACTGCCATAGCCAAGACGGGCAGGGTGCTTCGAGGGCACTCAACAATAGGAGGAGACATGCATCAGTTTCAATCTAGTTCCTGCTTCACTCCCCCCGTGTCTGTTGTGCTCCTCGTCCCGGGGGACTTCAGTCGAGAGACACGAGAGCTTTTTTTAGGGTGTGTTACCCCTCCCTCCCTCTCTTTCAGCCTCCCTTCCTGCCTTCGTTCTGTCCATACGCCCTTTTCAGACTGATATTCATTTCAGGTCTTCCCTCCCCGGCTGAAGTGCAAGAATAACCCGGATCTCGTGCAGATTTTTATGCCCATTTTATTTATAACAACTTAGTATGAAATTTAAAGATTACAGTTCACATGCGCGTGTCTGTCGCCGAGCCCCTGCGGCCGAACCGGCGGGAGTTCCTGGGCGCCTCCTCGATGAGTGGGTCCTCGGCGCCGCCGCTGACGCCGCTGCCGCCGAGCGCCGTGAGCCCCGCCATGGCCATCCGCTGCGGCGCCTGCACGCTCTGCACGGCGTGCACCACGGCGCGCACGCCCGGCGCGTTCAGGGCGCGCTCCGTCAGCGACATGGGCCGCTCGCGGATGCTCCTGGACCGGCCCTCCTCGATGGTGGGCAGCCCCAGCGGCACGTTGTGCATCACGTGCTGCGGCACGCCGCTCAGTGTGGTGTGGCCGGGGGTGTGGCCCTGCCCAGGCTGCGACGACGACGCCGGGGGTGGCGCGTCGCCGTTGTGCGCCGACGCGGCCCCTACGCCCTGCTGGTTCTGCTGTGCATGCCCTGCGGACAGAGCGGCGGACAGTCAGACCGGCTGCGAGTTGTCGAGGCGGAGTGCTGCTTGGTGTTGGGACACCTTGGTGTCGGGCACCGTGGTGTTGGACGCGCACCGTTACCCCACCTGCTGCAGACCCACCCCCGCCGCCTCCGGCCGTCCTGCGCACGCTGCCGACCCGGGAGCGCGTGGAGCCTGGCCGCAGCGACCGCGACAAGGGCCGGAACCGGCTGAGCCCCGCCGCCACCTGCAAGCCGAGGGGGCCGAGGGCAGGGCCCTTGTTAGTGGGACAATGCCGTGGCCATGCCGTGGCTGCCGTGGTCGGGGGCTGCTGGGAGCGATACGCACCTGCGCGGCGTTGGACTGGGAGGCCGACCCGGCCGCCTTGTTGGCGGCCTGCACGCCGAGCAGCGACGTGATGAGCTGGTCCAGGATCTCGGGGTCCAGCCCGGCCGAGGCCGAGGCCGCGCCGGGAGGCAGGCCACCGATGACGCTGCCGGGGCGGCTGCTGGCCGCGACGGGCGCGTGGATGCCCAGCGTGGCGGAGAGCTGTAAGGGTTGACGTCGGGAGCAAGTCCCCATAAATCGACCTCAGCGCTACCTCAGTCCCTTCAGAGACTGAGCGCTATCTCTTTCAGAATTTGAACGGTGGTCGATAAGACGAATCGATGGGTCGATCGATCGATTCATCGCCCAGCCCTCCATTCTTCCACGAGACAACGCCCAGAGACTTACATCCGACGCGTTGTGCGCGTAGCTGCAGCGCTTCACCCTCCGGAACACGTCGTCGTCCATGGCTTCGCGCATGGCCACCTCCAGGGTCTCCATCTCCTCCTGCGGGATGGAGCTGTACTCCATGGCGCGGCTGTGCCTGGAGGCGGGCGCGGCTCGCCGGCCCTTGTTCTGCCGCATGGACATGCGGTTGTTGTCCCTCGCGATGGGGATGTCGTGCTCCCAGAAGCGCCGCAGGTCAGGTCCCGATGTGTAGGGCGCGGCCACCTCCTTCAGCTGGAACATTACAGAGAGGCTTGATTATCTACTGTGTTCTTTTATTCGGTACCCTCGAGTCGAGCCCATGAAAGAGTATTTTAAATTTCGCCTCACGAAACGGCATCTTTTCGCGTGAGGCATGGCGCCTCGTTTCTTGAAAGGCAATGCCGAGATTCACTGCATTTGCGTTTACACGAGAACTCCAAACGCCGCGCCCGGCCGCGCCAGGCCTCGCCGAGCCAGCTTGTCGGAAGGGCTAAAGCGGCTAAAGCTCTTGTGACAGGTGCGCGGCAAGGCTTGCGCCGCTGGCAGCGTTGCTTGTTATCCTACCGTCGACCATGGCGGTTACTGGAAAGTAATTAACCCGTCACAAGTCACCACCACGACACCACTATCTTCAAAATCTACCTTCAAGACGATCATGGCGGTGATAAAGATGCAGCCGACGTTGACCAGGAACAGGCAAAAGCTGATGATGCCCAGGATGGTGAGCTCGGTGGGGACGTGGTCCGAGTAGATGGGCTGGTAGTTGGTCGTCATGTTCGTGAAGGACTCGCCCGCTATGTGGGGAATCTTCATCTTGTCGCCGTAGATGAGCTTGGTGCACGTCAGTCCCCACAGCAAGCCCTGCAAAGACGCGCTTTTATTTGGGAGCTGCACGGGGCAGCAGAAGTCCCGGAGTTGCCCCTCCGTGCTGACCGGGGGGGGGGGGGGGGGGGTGTACACTGTACTCACGCAGTTGACGATGGGCGGCAGCAGCGAGGCCGAGATAGCCACGCCGATGAGGGGCCCGGCCATGCCCTGCAGCAGTGCCAGGGCAACACCCGTCCCGGAGGGGAGCGCCCACAGCACGCCGATCCACAGCGAGCGGTAGAAGCCTCTGAAAAAAAGCTGCAAATTAAATCGGCGACGCCACTTGGTCATTTTGCTAGAGCGCCCCCTCTGAGCTGCGACTGCTCCGACCTGCCGATCATCTCGTCCGTGGGCCAGTTGCCGTAGCCCCAGGGATGGTCCGTGGTGCCGACGAGCAGCCCGAAGATGAAGCCGAACACGAGCGAGATGCTGGCGCCCGCCAGCAGCCCCTTGACGCCCACCCACTGCAGGCTGCGGTCCGCGATGGCCGTGCCGAAGGTCAGCGCCATGACGGGGCCCTGCGAGCACGAAGGGCGGCGAGGACGGCGTCAGCAACAAGGGGGAGACAACAACAACAGGGGGAAAGGTTACATGAGGGGCTCACCATGAGGGGCGAGATGAGCATGGCGGCGACGATGTTGACGGCGCTGCTCTCCATGAGGCCGATCACGGCGACCATGCTGTCGACAAAGAGCACGAGGGTAAACCAAAAGACCTCTCCGCCACTTCCTCGCATGCCCCGCCGGGCAGTACTCACTCGGCGGTGAGGATGAGCGTGATGTAGTCGAAGCTGAGGGTGGCGCCCCCGCGCACGCCGTCCACCACCTGCTTGACGGTGAGCTTGGCGCGCACCGAGTCCACGAAGCTGTCCCACGCCTTCTTGTCGGATGGGTCCACCCTACCAAGGTCAAGCTCGTCGTAAAACAAGACAGTCAGAAAAAGGGGGCCCCAAGCACGGGCGTGCAATTCGCTGCGCCTCGTTTCAAACGGCCATTGAGACATCTGTTTGGAATACACGCTTGCAGAGGGCGCTCAGTCTCCTGCCATCCCCCGCGGCGGGGCGGCCTCGCGCTGCTCTGCGCTCTGGTGCTCTCGCGGCTCTCACTCTCGAGGGGCAGTTGACTAGAAGCGACCCAGCCACCTAGCCCGCCAGCCAGCCCGCCGGCCAGCCAGCCCACCAGCCAGCCCACCAGCCAGCCAGGGGCTGTGGCTGGAGCTGGGGGGCTCCGGCCAACCACAAATGAGAAACTTGGCAGGTACCTGGGGGCTGACAGAATGCCCGTCCTTGCTCTAAGCTAAAAGCGCGCTTCATACTCACTCCTCCTCGTCCTCCGCCGACTCGAAGCCCTGCATAAATACGTTGCATGGCACGACGCTGTGGGCACAAGCGGAAACGTCAGGGGGTGAACAAGGGGCGGCTCGGGGCCGAACTGTCCCGTCGACTGATTCTGAAGAGTCGTGATTCGTCGCTCTATCCCTTTCCCCAAAGGGACGCCCCATGAGTGCGACAGAGAAAGAGCGACGAAAGGTTCCTCTTCGGAATCAATCTGCAGCACAGCGGATCGGAGCCGCAGCCAAGTAATTACGTTCCCTCCCGCTCCGGGACTGTCCGGGACTGTCCCGGACGCGCCGGAACGGGAATGGGCAACCAGAGACGCCCGGACTCGACTTTGGAGCGCGCCATCACCTCACTGCGGAGTTGTGTTTCTTGCCTATTTTCAGCTCCGTCAGGGAATGGAGGCAGTTCTCGGTGTCGTCGCCAGCCGCCACGGGGAAGAAGACCTGCAGGAAGGAGAATGAGTCGAACTCGCGCGGAGGGAGGGGGAGGGGGGCGTGGCCTTGGCACTGATAAGGCAGGATGCAACCTTGTCCCGTAAGCCTCCTTGCGCCCTGGGGACCTCCCCCGGGCAACAACATCATCGTCATCATCAACAACAACTACAAAAGCCCTCACCTGGTAATAGCTGCTCTTCTTATCGGCGCACCAAACCACGTGCTCTATCTCCAGCTTCTTGAGCAGCCCCTCCAGCACCTGCAGATGCGTCAAGTGGGAGGCACAAATGAGGCTTCTTTTCGTCAAAGTTCATAACTCTTTTTGCATTCTGTAGAGTGTAGTTGCGTGCGTCTGGCCGGCCGCCTGCCGAGTCAGGCATAGGCAATCCGCGGCACCGTCGCGTCCGCCGGGCCCAAGGAAGGCCGTGCCACTCACCCGCTCCATGGGCACCGAGTCCGGGTTGACGGTCTTGCGCGGGCCGCGGGTCTGCACGGGGTCGACGCGCGCCACGGCGGGACCGTCCAGGTTGATGAGGGGGCCCCTGCCCCCCGGGGGCGGCAGCCCGTGCACCAGCTCGTACTCCCGCTCGGCCGTGGGCACGCACACCACGAACAGCATGCCCGCCATGGCGCCGGCTGCACTGCCTGCGACACAACAGACACAACCATGCCAAGAAAGTCGTAGAGAAGCTCTCGCCTGCTCTCGCCGCGCGCGCGGACGGTAGAGGTTTCGGAGAGTCAGACAGAGACGCCGAGAGGCCAGTTAGGCCTTCTGTAGTATCGATTTGGGGTCAATGCTATTTCAATGTCATAAACTGTTCCTCGTTGGTCCATCCAGAAAGCCCTCCCTCCCCTCGCCCCGTCCATTTTCCCGGGCGCGTCCCAAAAATAATGGTGACAATCATGTCATGGCCCGTCATGGCCATCCACACATGAACCCTTGACGTCCGGGCCGTCGCGGCCGGTTGTCGAGGTTCACCCACACGGCCGTTTTAAATGCGCCTCTCCGCGCGGTCCAAATTGGCGTGCCGCTGCCGCCGCTGCTTTGGCCGCAGCTTCGCAGTGCTTTGCAGCTTCGGCGGCAGCCAGTGGGCCGTGGCGCGGTGTCACGCCAACGCCAGCGCGCAGCACGCGCAGCACGCTCGAACGATGATGAGCAGGCATAGCTCTCCTTCAGCACAGAAGAAAGGGAAAGAAAAGACAATGGCGAGTTCGTAAAAGGAAGAACGGGTGCAAAGCGCAAAACGTTTTCGCTTCCGTTTGAAGTCGGTGGGTGAGGGTGGCGCCGCGGCTCCTTCCCTGTTGCCAGCGTGGCACCGCGCGGCACCGCCACACCGCGCCCCGGCGGGCCGCAGCTAGCCTGAGCTAGCGCTAGCGCAACCCAGCGGAGTGATTTCGGGCAGTACTTCGTCGCTCTGCCAGTCTGTCTGTCTCGCAGGCACGAACACTGGGGAGAGGGGAAGGGCCATGAAGTTCATGGACCTTCTAGGCCCTTCACAGAATGCCTCATCATGAGTAGACAATTCACAGCATAGTTTGCCCGCAAGCAAAAAGACACCCCCTAAATGAGGGCTCTCAAAAACCCATCCCTGCCTAGCGCGCACTGACCCCATGCTCCCCAGTAGGGCAGCGGCCACTTCGACTATGCTGAAATCCTCCCGCATCTGAGGTTGCGGCGAGGTCGCGCGAGGTCGAAGTGTCTTGCTGACCCGAACCGCTAAAGGTCTGTATAGGCCTAGTAGCGCTGATGATGATGATGATGCGGGCACCCAGACCGGGCTATGACCGGGACAAAGCTACCCTACATCTATGGGACTCCCTATGTGCGCGAGAAAGAGCTGTCCAATCACGGGACCTACGCTCAACAGTAGTCCGACTACTGCAAACACTGTGGATGATATTGGAGAAAGCATGGGTCGGGAATATTCTCGTCTCGCCCTCGCTTTGAAGCCAGCGCCGCGTTGCGATCGGCAACCACCGCGTCGACGGCAATGTGTGTGATATTAAATTTTGTGACGAGTTTTGTGACTTTGGTCCCGGCGAGCTGTTCTCATTGCTCCGAGGCATAGGAGGACAAGTTCCTGCGTTATTGCTTTTAGTTTTCCGGCTAGAGCGGCGCGGCGCCGTCCTGCCGGGCTGCTAGGCAGCAAAGCCGTTGTCCGATTTCATCATGTTTCCTCCATTGCGCATCTCTGAAAGACGGAGGCTTACCTGGAGTTGGCGGTTATGCAGCCCGTCCGTCCTGGTGACGGGGGCCTTGTCCTCGGCGGTCACGGACACTGCGACGGCCACGCCCCGACTGCACTTGCAGGTGTGCTGCGACGCTGCGACGCCTCACCAGCGTCGCCCGGCCGCTGCGAGGACCTAGCGTCCCCATGTTAATATCCGGGAGCTTGGTATACGACGTGGCAACACGTTGCGATGCCCACCCTTTATCGTCTGGTCCCGGCTAGCTGCCTTCTGGCCTGGCGTTGGCGTCGTCCTGGCCAGTCCTGGGGCTGCCGGCCAGTTCCGACCTCCGTCTCGGCCCCGCTCGGCCGGCGGAGGTCCCATCACGGCGAGCACGGCCAGCACGGCCAGCACGGCCAGCACGGCCAGCTCTGGGCAGGCGTGGATCCAACTGTTGTAGTCTGGTTACTAAAAAAGAAAGAGAGCTTCGGGACAAGTATTTTGAAAAACAGTCCGGTCAGTCCACCAGGGGAGCCTGGAAAGCCTCAAAAAGTGCACTGTGAAATAATAAATACTGTAAAAAGCAAAAAATTATACTCAAACTTGAGTAAAAAGGAATCCTTTGACAATGAAAGTGAAATTTGTGAGGCGTTTAATAACTATTTCTCAAACATTGTCGAAAGACCTTGTTGCTGGAGATACCAACGGGAATACCACCTCCGGAAATCATATTCCTTCAGGTGAAGTAGAAGTGATAACCATCATTATCAATTTGAAAACTTGTGGTAAGAAGACGAATTGCTCATTCGGGAAAACTGTCCTGGTGTCGTTCCTCGGAAATGTGCTCTCGTGTGCTCTTTCGCTGGAGCCAGGCATTTGTTTAGCAAGTTAGTCAGTTATCGTAGTGTGCTTACTGTGCTTACTGTTACTGGTACGTCACACTGTATAAATCTAGGGAACCAATACATCCAGTACAAACAACCACCTCAATCAGAGTGAAGCCACCTACGCGACTGGTCCAAAACTGCCGCCTTTCTGCTGCTTGTCTGCCGGTGGCGCCCCTAGCGGCCGAAGTCGGCAGTCGCCCACCGGCACGAACGTAAACATGAAAGTGACGTAAAGCGTCCTTTGCGTCAATTTAGTCGTGATTTAGTATAAGATGCTGGAATTTTAATGTTTGTCGGCCCCTGTTGATGAACTAGTCGTTAGACATCAAACACTGAAGCGGTTAGTTCACTTCGTTTTGTTCCAGCAGCTTCATTGAGCCATGTTCGTTGCAGAATAACCTTGTCTGTTGAAATTTGTGCCAGATTCAGCTTATTTGTGTCATTTGCGCTTCGCTCTCTACTTAGTTTTCTTTTGAACTTTTGAACTTGCGAGTATCCATACTCGATTATTTAAAGATTTTAAACCCGATCAAGGTGTACTTCTCTACCATGGTATTTCCCCCTTTAAAACAGGAAACCTTAGTATCTTGTCATAAAAATTTGTCACTCTGTTTTCTCTTTTAGACATCTGAGTATCCAGAATGGTCCCAGGCACCATTGAGGATGCACAAGCTGATGTGGTTTTTGTCATAGAAGGTACAGCTGTTAACGGTGCCTACATAAATGATTTAAAAACCAACTATATCATTCCAACGCTCAAGTAAGTGGCGCTTATCTTAAGAAAATTGTTGCGTTGATTAACTTTTAATTTTGATTTTATTTCTCCAGGTATTTTACCCCATTTAAAGGAGATGACACAGACTACAATGAGGTTTGTAGGAGTATTTTCCAGTTTTGTGGGCTGACTTCTCATTTAGTTTATTCCGTGATAATAGTTCACTACTTTGTTTTACAGAGTCAAAGTGTCATGTACGGTCTTGTGATTTACCATGCATCTGATTGTCTTCCCTGTCCAAGTAGTGACAGCTATGGCCCCTTCTACAGTCCATTCAAACTGCTTGCAATGCTGGATATCATCGAGTAAGATTTATTTATTTGTCTTTTTTTATATAAGGTATTAAACACCGCCATTTGCTTTCATACTCCTTTCTTGCAGAATGGCTGGTGGAAAGGGTGAGGCCTGTGCAAATATTGCGGAGGGCATGGCAACAGCCCTCCAATGTTTTGACGACCTGCAGTCTAAGAGAGATGGGGCGTCAGCTGTCCAAAAGCACTGCATTCTTGTCTGTAACTCTCCACCTTACCTACTGCCTGTGATGGAAGCCCCATCTTTAAATGGACATTCAGTTGATAAGCTTGCTTCATTCCTCTTAGAGGTGGGTGACAGCTCTTAACTTCTCATGTCATTATTTGCTTTAATTTATTATAACGCAAAGGAACTATGCAATCTTTGTTTTTACCATCTCATTATTTACAGCGAGGAATAAATTTATCAATACTTTCACCCCGAAAAATCCCTGCTCTTTTTAAATTATATGAAGTAGCAGGCGGTGATCTTCAAGTATCTCAAACCAAGAACTATGCTAAAGATCCCCGTCATCTAGTACTACTAAAAGGCTTCAGGTTTAACAATTTTATTTTCTTAAATTTTGTTTGTTTTTTATTTCTTTTTGAGAACCATTTCTATATTTATTTTTCCTCCTTGTGCCCAGTTTGACGGAACGTCCAGTCAGTCCAAATCCTCCAGTTGGAACTCAGATCCCGAATACCAACCAGCAATCTTCTCAACAAACACCAAACCAAGCAGGACAGACTGCGCAGACACAGCAACCTCAGCAAACGCCTCAGACCTCATCTCAAAATGCAGTCCAACAGAACCAACAGCAGACTGTTTCCTCAGCAGGAGGTGCTATGCACAGCCCACTCCAAAGCATTGGCAGCCCTGCTAATGTGTCGGGGCAGGGAGGACCAACAGGAGCGGCACAACAGCAAATGATTTCAAACCAGGGTGTCTATAGAGCAAACCAACAAGCACAACAACCCAGCGTAAGAAAACATTATATTCCAATAATTTGTTCTCTGGCATTTGTTGATCTTGTGCCAGAATTAAACTTGCCTATGATTCCCTCCTCTTTATGGAATAAACTCACAAACATACTGTTCATTTATTTTTGTACAGGGTATGATGAGTAACAATGCTCAAAATCAGCAACAGCAAGCAGCACAGCAGCAGGCTCAGCAGGCACAGCAGCAGGCCCAGCAACAAGCTCAGCAGCAGCAGCAACAAAATCAACAAGGAATGATGGGAGGAGGCAGACCACCTTTCCCCCCTCAGCAGCCACCAGGATACAACCCCATGGCAGGTGCTGCAGGAAGACCCCAGTGGCGAATGCAAAATCAGACTCGTCCTCTTTTCATGCAGGTTAGAATTAAGCTTATTTTTACAAACTTAAACATTTATTCTGGTTTTGAAATAAAATGATTTCTCTTACAGGGACAGGCGGGCTTCCCAGGTCCAGGAAATGCTCCTCAGCAGCAGAGCTCTGCGCTCATTGCACAGCTGACACAGCCCCCAACAAACATTGGTCCAGGTGTGAGCCAGATACAGTTACCGTCTCAATTCGGTAATGGTTTCAAGTTGACAGTCTCTTTCATATGCTTGAGTGCTGAAGACCTTCCCTTCAGAGCCTCCACTGTATTGCCCCTTCTGTTTCAGGTGGGTCGGGCAATCTGAATCAACAGCAGATGCGGATGAATCCCATGATGGGACCACAGGGTCAAGCTCAGGGCCAAAGTCAAGGACAAGTTGCGCCCCAAGTCCCTCCAGGACAACAAAATTCTCAAGGGCCTGGCCAACAAGTCCAGCAAGGGTCTAATGTACAACAACAATTGCAGCAGCAGCAATTGCAGCAACAACAGTTGCAGCAACAGCAGCTTCATCAGCAGCAACAATTACAACTACAACAGCAGCAACAGATGCAACAGCAGCAATTGCAACAACAGCAGCAGCAGCAGCAGCAACAGGCGCAGCAGCAAGCTCAGCAAGCCCAGCAGCAAGCTCAACAACAAGCTCAACAACAAGCGCAACAAACGCAGCAACAGGGGCAGCAACAAGTTCAGCAGGCTCCATCTCAGCGTCAGATTATTTGGAGTGGTATATTAGAATGGGTTGAGAAGAACAATGTCAAAATGCCCCAATCCAATCAGCCTAAACTTCCGAGACAAGTACCGTGCCAAGTTGGAACCAATTCTAAAGACACTCCAGAGCTGTAATATTTTAAAACCTTTGATTTTAAAGCTTTCTTTCTTTCTTTCCTTCAGTTAACCACCAACTAATACTTCATTGTCTTAAATTTACAGGTCAGCTGAGACGTGGCCTCAAAAGTTACTCATGCAGCTAATGCCAAAAACATTAATTGGAAGCATTGGAGGTACATTTTTAAAAAACTCCAAGTCTGTGTTCTTCCTTCCCCAGCAATGTGAAGCACTCGAAACTCTAGTGCAAGTTATGAGTTCTGGCTATGTGAGAATACATATCTTTACTGGATTCCAATGTTTATTTACCATGCAGTGAAAACCTTATTTTAAAATATCATTTTTATTTTTTCAGGCTGGATGTGTTCACTTTACCAGTAACAACACAGCATGTGATATTAAAGTATTAATTTTATTGTATACATCAGACAAAAGAACATTCATTGGATTCATACCAAATGATCAACAAGCATTTGTTGATAGATTACGAAAAGTTATTCAACAGCAGAAACAGGGTAATCGTGGGGTAAGTTTTAAACAACCACTAGCTTTCAAAGCTACTTATACTTGAGCTGTTGACTTATTTTTTTAATTTAAAAACATTTGTTAATGTTTCTTTCTGTGCATTATTGGAGTGTAGCAAGGACAAAATCAACAGGGAATGGTTCAAGGCCCTCAAGGAATGAATCAGGGATCCCAAGGACTGAGTCAAGGCTCCCAAGGACCTCAAGGAATGAATCAGGGTCCTCAAGGAATGGGTCAAGGTCCTTCAGGAATGAACCAGGGATCCCAGGGAATGAATCAGGGACCCCAGGGAATGAATCAGGGTCCTCAAGGAATGGGTCAAGGTCCTCCAGGAATGAATCAGGGACCCCAGGGAATGAATCAGGGTCCTCAAGGGATGAACCAGGTTCCCCTTGGAATGGGCCAAGGGCCTCAGGGAATGGGCCAAGGGCCTCAGGGAATGGGCCAAGTTGTGATGGGCCAAGGATCCCAAGGAATGGGATCTGTGCAGCAAAATATGGGACAGGGGCAACAGGGAATGATGATGTCCCAAACAAACCAGATGGCTATGGGTGGCGGGCAGATCACCCAAAATGTTGTCTCGTCAAATGCAGGACCTGGTGTGCCTGGAGGAAATTCTGGAATTCAGGTACAGGCTCAAGGTATGGGCCAACAAGTTCCCAATCAAAGTGGGCAGATGTCCATGGGTGGGCCTCCAAACACAATGGGAATGCAGGTATAGTAAATTTTTGGTGCTGCTTATTGCGGCCCTTTATGTACCGTTTTGTTTTATTTCCAATGTTCCCTTTGTGTGTTAAGCAGGGTGTAGATGGTAACATGGGAATGCGAATGCCAGGTCCCAATGTGTCTCAAAGTCAACAACCGCAAGGACCTGGAGGAGGACCTGGTGGTCAAGGGGGCCTCATGGTTCGTGGTGGTATGATGGCAATGCAGAGGAATATGAACCCTCAAATGCAAGGTGGAGCACAAGATATGGAGCAACAGCTCAAACAGTTTGAGGTAAGTTTGTGCAATGTATCAGCCCTGTTTGCCCTAGCTGTAGTGGCCTTTCCTATGATTTTCTTTAAAAGCAAAGATGAACATTGAAGAAAAATGCTTCCATGTCATCTTTTACTGGGTTTCAAATTATCTGATGCATAGAGTTCAGTACTTTCATTTTAAATTGAGTGGGAACCTTGAAAGTCTTCAAGTGTGGTGCTTGTGGGGTTTCAGCTTGTCACCATGAAGGTGCAGCAGCAGAAGCTGCAGCACACCATGGATTTGGGCCGACAGCCACTTGATGTGAGTGGAGACACTTAAAACTCTAGAATCACTTAACAGACCTGGGTTCCATTTGTTACTAACAACTTCACATTTATCTGTGATTTGACTGGGAATTAAAGCTTTGCCTGCATTGAGTTTTGCTGCTATATACTAATGCCCTTTTCCTTCTGGAAGACCTACCAAATATTAGAAATTTAAATGCTTTTTTGGGTGTGGCTGGTTACTGTAATGGATGAAAATATGTGACTGTTTTCTGCTTGAACCATATCTTAATTTCTCTTGCTGTTTTTGTGGCAGAATGACCCGGGCAAATTAAGAGCACAGCTGCAGTTACAGCAATTACAACAGCAACAAAGACAAATGGGTCCACAAGGAATGCAGCAGAGACAACAACAACAACAACAACAACAACAACAACAGGCAATGCAACCCATCCAGAATCCTAATCAACAGCGTATGATGCGTCCAAGCAATCCAGGATTGAGGATGCTTTTGCAACAGGTAGGCAAGGCAGTTCACCCTTCCGACTGGCTTTTCAAATCACCTACATTTGGCATTCCTTGCTTCTACAGTGTCTGTGTAATAATTTGACTCTTGATTTCAGCAAACATACCGACCTGCCATGATGAATCAGATGCAACAACAAATGGGGGTGAGAGGTCCCATGGGCCAGCCTGGATCCCAACAAGGAGGAATGCAACAGCAATTTGACTCAGAATATGAAAATTATTAGGGCTCGAATTTCATCTCAAAATTTAGATAGCTGCTCACTGTGCTCTCTTGAAAACAGGAGTAAATTCCTGGTCCAATTTTGTATTTAAAGGTACCTTTATTGTGCATCACATCGCAGTACCTGAATAATCCATTCATCATACCTTGACATCATATTAGCATGCTTTCAAACGTGCTGTGATATTAGTAATGCAACGCAGCTTTCTGATGATAAGGTTTTACTTATCTTGCAAATGTTTTTTCAAGTCATTTGCCAATTTTTATTAATGAGTTCCATTATTTGTAAATGTGTGCAAAATTTGTATACTTGAAATGTACCTGATGTTTATGAATATTTCAATTTTTTAAAATTAATGTTATGATTTATCCATATCATTTTTTTTATTTATTTTTTTGCCCGATTGTTTGTGATGGTTTTGGCTGTGGGAGGGCGGGCAAGTGACAACACTTGGATGGTTTGGAGGTTTATTGGGACTAAGGAAGTCTATGGTGTGAGCCTCAGCTGCAGACTGACAGGGTGGTTCAATATATAGCTTGGGCAACAATGACACTTGTGAGGAAGGTTGCAATGGGGGTGCGCTAAGAAAAAACCAGGACAATAATGGAACATTGCCCAAGGCAGGGAAGTCTCATGCTGGGGAAGGGAGGAAGAATAAAGTCATGAAACTGACATCAGTTGCTTTGCCTCTAGCATCAAGCCAAATCACTACATTTGACTTGGGTATAATTAATTTTTATCTTATGTACTAGTAAATAGAAGTATCTTTTCGCTGAAGAACTATTATGTGACTTTAACTATAGTAAACTCAATATGTCAATAGTTTGTAGCGCAGCAAATATCTGCTCATTTCATTTTTTTTTTAAATTTCATATTGTATTGGTCTTTTGAAGATTCACTGAACAAAATTGGTCTAATTGGTTAAATTTTATATCCAGTGTTGTTATATATTGTGAACTGTTCTCCAAAGTGTGTGTATTAAAGAAAAATTTAAATTCAAAGTTTAGTATTATTTTAGGATCTTCAAAACTCAGACTACCTATTTCATGCATGTTTACTGAATGTATACATTATCCCAAAAGGAAAGGGACTAACTTGATTGCATGGGGAAAAGTTGCATTCAAATTGATTGCTCTCTATTTATGTTTCATAATGTATCAATGTAATGCAAGCACCTAATTTAGTGATCACTTTCATCTTCAACAGTGGAATTTGTTGAGCAAAGAACCCAGTTGGAGTTTGGGCCGGTCAAATTATCCTTCCTTCCCCTTTATTCTAATGATTTCCATCAGGATACAGTAAGGTGTGCATCCATACAGAACTGGCTCACATCAAGGCCAAGTTTGGACCACAAATATAATTAACCATGTTTAAAGTATCTGGTATAAGGTATCAGGCTTAAAACTTGACTTAACTAAAACAACTTTATTTCTGTTATAACTGTTATCACAGGCATATATATATACGTACTATAAAAAATATAAATACATTTAATTTTGTTTCAGTATTTCAAAACTGCCACTCGTGCAGTTTTTTTTAGAAAAAGGATCTAAGTTAGATGACAAAATAGTTCTACAGTGTACTCAAAATTTCCTTCCTCCTGTTGTTGAAATGAGGTGGTGAAATGTGTTCGTAAGGAGGAACATAGTTATGAACAATGACTCTCTGACTTGGGCTGCCAGTTGGTACCTCAGTCCTGTGCAAAGTTCCTCCACTTTTCATTACATCATTGCGAAGTTCTTCTAATGATTCCTCTCGTTTAGTCAGCTGTCCAGACGTTTCATAGTCCACAGTTTTAGGATATGCGGAGTCTCCTAAAATTAGAAAATAAATAAATGGACATGGTAAAAGGACACAAAATTGAAACATCCTAAAGCAATGCAAAATTACCTGGCAGAAGAAAAAGCATCCCATCCTTTGCCCTTTCTTGGACTGGCATTGTGCGGCAGCATCCAAGCTGGGCTCGATTGGAGGCAAAAGAAATAAGGGACTCTGCATTCGAAAAGTTAGATAGCCTTGCAGCCTCATAGAATTGAGGATTGGCCAGGCGTAATTTTCCAGATTGAGCACCAATGATGAGATCAAGTGGACTGCAGCACTAAATAAAAGAAGACCAGTCATCAATTTTATTTCATTTTCCCAAAATGATTAAAAGATATTAGTAACAGCTACCTTTAACTCATCCATTTCTGAACTATCTAAAGAATAGGGTGGTAAAGATTGTAGCACTGATAGGAAAAATACTGAATTATGACGAATTCGTTGTTGAGTGGGTGTTAGCCAATTGCTCCACAAATGGAGCCCCCACAAGTCAGGCACACATTCTGCAGACTCACAAAGAGCTATCATTTGACGGGGATCTGCTCTCACTCTCTTTTGCCAAGCTTCAAGCTCATTTAGAATAAAAAAAGAAGTAAAGCCAATTCCTTGCTCTATGCTGCCAGCACTACGGCATAGCAGAATTCCACTCTCTTCGAAGGTTTCTCTAATTGCGCACAGTCGAAGGGACATCCATCCAGGCAAGTGACCACCATCCTTAAAAATAAAATAGGGAACTATTAAATGAAAGCAAAGAACTAAGGACATGGCTAGACCTGTTTTACTGGTAAACGTACGACTTCTTTGTACTCTGGTGAATGCTCGATTGAGCCTCCAGTCGACAAGCTCATGAAGCTCTTTTCTTCATAGCCTAAAGATCTGAACAGATCAATCCAAGCAGGACTAGTGTCAGCTTCATCCAAATGTCCTCCCGGAAATACATGAATCCCAGGCAGATGTTTGTCAGTCTCTCCTCTACGAAGCGTTAGAATATGAAAGCCACCACCTTGGTCATTTTGTTGTTTCTGATCACTCCTCAGCATTGCTCTCGTATTTTCCACTTTAAGCAATGAATCGCGCAGAACAGATGGTCGTAGCGCCAAAAGGACGCTGGCTGACACTTTCCACGCCTTCGAATGCATTATTTCACCTAATATAACCTAAAGCGGCAAGAGCACACTGTTTTGAACCCAAACAATGGTAACAAGGACAAAATAGGTATCGAGATGCGAGAGACTGCAATATTTTAAAAAAGCACATCCGCACGATTGCCGCAACGAATAACAAAATATTGGTGGATTTGCTTGCTCAGGTCAAACACACAGGTTGTTGTGATGCGTAGCAGACGGCGCTGAAACGGACTTAACGACTATCCGTTTTGAAATAGCCGCCACGCCACAATCAACAGGTTGGTGCTGTGCTGGAGCTGGTGCGAAAATCGCGAACTTTCACCCACTCTATTTTGTATTTCAGTTCATTTTAAGGTAAAATCATCTCTAAGAAATATTTCCATTCAAAGAACGAGGCAATTACTCGTGCTCAGGCATATTGTGTCACCAATATCATCAAATATTTATTTATTTTTCTTCAACCAACCCCTGGCTTGTTTGGAAATGGCTCTCTAGTGTAAAGATGGAATTTAGAAAATCAGAACCGAATGTTAGAAAAGAAGCGTAAGAAGGAAGTATGCCACACACTTTATTTATGTTGTGGTAAATCTTGAGTATTTGGAAATGTTGACGTGTGTGGCGCAAGTACTCCTATAGTCTTGAAGTATTGAATTCAGCTAGAAATATAACCTTGTAGCTAAAACTTACTTCTCCTCACAACATTGTCCTCACTATCCATACAACAGTTTTGAACTTTCAGTCTTTGAGGTATGTACATCTTTCGGCCGTGATAAGTTTCGTGGAATTTGAATTCTATCCGCTGAGTTCCTCTGCTGCACTGCATCTGACATAGCCATTATCTCTCATTTGTACCCGTCCCGTTCTGCTCGTACTGCTGTTGATCTACCTGTCAGCAGGCTCAAGCTGCAACCCTCTGTAAAACTTTTGCGCTTGACCGTAATTGAGTAACAGTCTTCAGTTATTGTTGATTTCATTTGCGTGTCTACTTCATTCATTCCCTCATTCATTTACTTTACAACAAAAATTTTATCCCATAGTTTTAAAAGAAGGTCAAATAGCTGACAGCTGTATTATTGCAATTATTTCTTTTCGTACGAACTTCCTTTCTTCTTGTAACTTTAAAAATATTTCTGAGAGACCCATTTTCCTTGATCAAAGAATCATCCCTAGTTGTTGGTTCTAAAACTTATTCTAAAAAGAAGTTAATAAGTGTGTCATGTTGAATCTTGTAACATTATTTTTGTTTTCAAACTGACTCAAGATTAAGTTTGTTACATCAATTTTGTTCAGATCTTTTTCGTTTTTTTTCTGCAGTCTTAGAAGTTTTTGTTACTTCTCAACTTTTTCCTGTCTTCTTGTTACTAATTCCTGTGATGTGATGAAAAGGGTAACCTGTTAAAGAATGGACAAATAATTTGACCCCTTGTGTCATTTTTCTTGGACTCCCCTTCACTATTTCCCTCTAGAGCTGCTGCTTATCACTATTTCCCTTATCTCTGCAGGCTGTCACAGAATGGATATAGGGGGAGGGAGGGGGAAGGGAGAGACTTTCCTGCTGCACGTATGTTTTAGGGAACTCTAATGTAACCTTATTAGAACAAATCAGTATGAAACCAAATAGGTTCTTAATAAATGTCACTGGTATGATAAAGGTTCTTAGATTGACCCACAATCTCTATGGTTGTTTTTATAATTGCCAGATAAAGTTTTTGATAGCATTCTTTCTTATAATTTTGACAACACTACTTTTCCTTTGTTTTAGAATGGTACTCTGCGTCAACAGATCGGCCCTTGAAGAGGCTCCCCCAGATATGGCTACGCTGTTTCACATGCATCCTGGGTATAGAGATTCTGCAGCCCTCCTAATTTCCATTCCAACTAAAGTAGTTGGACCTGCTGGTCTTCTGTACGTCATTGAACGGGAACTTGCTGCAACTGTTCCTCAAGACAGTGAGTTCTTGGCTTCATGCTTATTGTTTTTAAACAGAGACAATTTTACCCTTGTTTAATAAATAATTTCTTTTATTTTCAGAAAATGTTAACATTCTTGGTTCTGATAATGCTACAACTTGTATTATTGTAGTGCTTCGTCACACTGGTGAGCATGAGAAAATTTCTCTGAATATGTTCTTTTAGTCACGGTAATGCAAATTTATGTCTGTTTTTCTGACTGCAGGATCAGGTGCAGTTGGCATCACTCATTTACACAGCGTTGGAAGTGAAGACGGAGTAGTGACACTCATTGAAAGGGTACGAGAACTCTCTGTAGGTTTCCCTGAAGGGCGCCTTGAACTTAATTTGATCGGAGGTTTTGCAGACAGTCGCAACTATTCTGAGGGTGTTTTCCAAAACATAATGCGTAAGTAATTTTGCTAGTTTTTGTATTTCTTTGTGTTATAAAATTATTGCTTGTTTTACTCCCACTCCCAGTAGCCTTATTTATGTATTTTTTCTCTAGATGCATTCCACAAACAGCCTTTGGAAGTGGATCTCATCCTTGCCTGTGTGGGGGAAGCCAATACAACTGTCAGAGAAGGAATTCGCTGGCCTTTTATTTGTGGTGTTGGTATGTTTTATAAGTCTTGATGTGTAGATTAGGCTGCCTTCCAGTCCTGAACTGTACCTTATAAAGTTCTGAATATTATTTTGATGTGCTTGTGCTTTTAATAGATTCTATATGTATAATTCTGATGATCTTCTTTTTGTTTAAGGCGTTAATATCAAAACAGGGGAGATTTTCCCTGCAACATTTCCTGACCGAGGACCAGAACTGAGTTTGCGTTGTGCTCGTCATTTAACTGGAGGACACCAGGTGACTTTCTATTTTTTGTTACTTTTAAGTCATTTCTACATGTGCTTTAACCTGGTTTTGTTTTTCCGCTCAACTGGCAAAGGTTTTGGATGTGTATGACTGTAGTATGGGCTTGCATCGAATTGGACCTTTCAACTATGAACCTCTGCGTGGTGTTGATTTATGGCTTGAGCAGTCAGATGAATTCATTCTCCAACATTTATCTACATCACCCGAAGTGGAAACTCCCTATTTCTCGTCCATGGTATGTAAAATTATTCTCGAACCATTCACTCCTCAGAACACCTAAGAACTACCAGATGTCCACACCAAATTAGAATGAATAAAGAGGTAGGTAGGAGACCTACATAAGGAGCATTTTTAGGAGTAGGGTTCAGGGTCAATTGCACCCTTAGGGTGAAAAATGCTCCCAAAATGCTCCTTTGTGGGTTTCCTATCCACCCTCTTTATTTGTACCAATTTAGGATAGACACCCTGTACTGTTCATAATTCATATCATAAATGTTTTGTTTTACTTTAAAATGCTAAATCTTTCTGTTGTAGATTCGTCAAACTTTGAAATACATTCAAGATCACCCATTTCCTGCTGTCACTGTGTTCAGGGACAACAGACCACATTATTACAAACGAGATGAAATGACTGGGTTTTGGGTGCCTTTTCGGTTCTGAGTACGAGTTCCTCTGTACCTATTGATTGACCAACCTCTTCAAATTGTTGGATTGTTGTCTTCTATAAACATTCAACTTTAAGAACAAATGTTCTAAAATTAGAAAGACTTTTTCATGTTACACAGTTTAAGAGATGTGCCAAATTTATCTTTGAAAGTTGTTGCGAACCAGTGTACTCTATGTGATTTTATATTGTAAGTTCAGTCCCAACAATTCTAACTGTCTGCATTCTCAGTTTCATTTCTTATTTCCCCTTTGCTCTTTGTCTTACTGGACTTTTTATTTTGTTTCAACCAAGCTGAGCTATATTTTACCTTCCTTTTAATGTATGGTCAAGATCTGAGTAATTTTTTGTTTGTTTTGTCTCTTTTCTGAAGATGCTTACTACCCACTCAGCTTGTTGAAAATAGTTCATAGCAAAATGTCTCAAGTGACTGAACCAAACAAAGATGTGACTTAATAAAATCGAATCGGGACCATAGTTGTGTTAAAAAAGTGGCAGGTCCAAAGAACAAATATTGTTATTTGAAACCTTGTTTTATGTCTCATAGCTCTTTTTACTGTTATTTAGGTGATTGGATAGTTTTAAGAGAAATCATACTGGCCAAACTTGCTGACTAATTTGATGTGTGTAAATGCATTTTTAATATTATGAGATACTTGCACTGCATAATTATTTTTTATGTTATGTGAAAGAAGAGCTGATATCTATCTCATCATTGTGTTGGCTGGATCTGACATATTTCAAGTCAAATGAATCTCCAAAACAAAAATTTAATGTATTTATTTAAATTGTTCTGTTATACTTATTGTCCCTGTTGGGCAAACATGGGTGTATTTCGTTTGTTGTTTCAAAAAGAGGTCAGGTTTCCTTACCCTAAGACTTTGTACTTTTAATGACATCTGTTGTCCCTTTCCGGTAAGGGTGAGTGTGTTTCATATGCTGTTTTTAAAAGTTGTCAATCTTCTAATTCTGGATGATTCAGAAATTATTTTTGTTGATGTGGTCTAGGCACATTGTTGTTAATTTTCTTTTCTGTTACATTTTAATGTTTCTTATATTTGTGGTTGAATATTGTAAGTGACTTCCAGCAAGGATAGTTTCAAATGCTTGGATCTCAAAATAATTGAAAGAAAGGCATTTTAACTATCTTGATGTCAGTCACTGCAAATATAAATACAGCTTGTATGAGTGCCAAATACAAATGCTATGAACTGTCCTTATTTTTTAAAAGAGAAATATTTATTTTTGAACCTTTGTTAACATATATTTCTTATATAGAACCCTATTTTAAAGATGTGGTTGTGACCCTTGTTGGTGAAACATTAATGTTATATAAATGGTTTTTCCATGTTTCAAAATGTATCCTGCCATAATTTGTAAATCTTTCATATATTTACTATATGTATTTTAGTACATGGCATTGTACAGGATTGAAGTGAGTCTAGCAAATAACATACACATAAATATATTTTTTTAGTGGACATTGATGCACATTGACCTGGCATTAATAAATTTTGCCAAATGTGGACGTGATCAGCAATAGTTGTGTAACTTTTTTTTAAAAAAATGTTTTTTCTTTGTTGAGTATGTTTTAGGAATAAAATAAAAATTGATTTCCTTATTGTCTCTATTGTCTGTGTTGAAGTGGAAAACTACATTTCTGTGTAGTTTGCATAGCTTCTTTACGAGACGTGTATATGTGCCTTTGACATGTGTTTCAGATTGTTCTTGTACTGTGAAATCAAAATAAATGAAAGTTGAACACAATACTGGTAGTTTACTGCAACAAGGCTGCGAGTATACGCGCTTGGCTAGATTGACCTGAGCTCGCGCGAAGTATTATCAGTGGTACCTAGCAGAGCTTGCGTGGCTTCGGAGCTGCAGCAGATGCGATTTACGGAACTCCCGACCAAGGGGTTGTGTATACCGACAGGGGGCATGTGATGCTGGTTGCCCACTCAGCTGGAGGTGTTGGCCGGCTGCACTGTCTCTACACGTGTCCAGTGGCTCGTCGCCCCTCCCCCCCCTTTTTCCCATATCCCATTAGCGCTCGCTGAACTTCTGCCAAGGAGGGTGGGATTAAAAGATTAGCGCTCGGTGATCAGTGCCTCTTTGTCCTGCAACGACCATGGCGTGCCAGAGTCCCGGGTGGCCTCCAGGGCCAGGGAGCCACGCCCGCCTGGTGGAGCAGTGCTTCGTTAGTCGTTTCCGCGAACAGGTGCGCCTTGTCGCTCGTCGTGCTCCCCGTCCTCTAGTCGCGGTACACGGTACACGCAGTACGCCCCAAAATCCTCATCTCTCAGACCCGGAGGATCGCGGAGGATCCAAGCTCTGCTAGGTATATAATACATAGGTATATAATACTGGCATGCCGGCACGCAGGCGAAGGGTCTTGCAGGGTCACCACCTCCACTCCACCTGACCTCAAAAATGGTTCCTAGCCGTTACCTTTTCTCTCATTTGGACATCAAGTTGACTTTTTGTTCTCCCAGGGAAAGCGGCTATCCCTTTCGAGGGCGCCTCTCACGGCCGAGAATAACAGACATGGCGATAAAAATCGGCAACTTTGGCCCGTTCCGTGCCTCCTAAAATTCCTAAACTTCTTCTGTGTTTAACCTTTAACGGGATTTGAACCTGGGGCACCTGCCCAGCCAGAAATGAAAAGTCAAAACGAGGTCGATTCGAGGTCGCCTCCGGATATCGATGATCAGTCGAAATTTTTGCTCGATTCGAGGTTATTATGGTCGTAAAATCGAGGTCGGTTTGAGCGTCGATAACGGTCCCCTATTCGTGGCCTTAAATTTGACGCATATCGATGCATTTTCGATGAGTGTTTCGAATGTTCCCGGACGCCGGTGGTGGCTATTGGCTGTTTAAGGTCCCCGGCTTAAATGGCCGGACGGATGACCCACCGAATCAAAAATTAAGCCCCCTCAGAGGAGGCATGTCCCCGCTCATCGGTAAGACGTTGATGACCGGCCAGCACCTTTGCCCAATGCTATTCCCAACCGTAGCCACAACCGAGAAGTAAGTCCATGAAAACGATGCTAGCGCCATCTAGCGGATGATCCTTCAGAAGAAAGAAATAGCAGTTTTACGGCTCTTTAAATGTATGTACACTCTTGAGTTTGTAGTATTCCATGGTATGACGTATTCTTTGAGCTTTAATAATGCTGAACTAATTACGAAAGTTTGAGCGGAAATCGATATCGAATCGACATCGATTCGATATTACATTTTTGACTAGCAAAATGTCGACAAAAATCAGTGTCGAAATATGGGAATTTTCGATGCTTATTTCGACCTCACCGGATTGTCGATTGCGTAGACGTCGAATCGACTTCTTTTCGAATGTTCATTTCTGGCTGGGCTGCCAGCAGCGCCTCCGAGGCTAGGATTGGAAACACGGGAGGTCCTCGGACGAACGGACGGACAAATCCTTCGGGACAGGCCAAAGATCAGAATTTTGTCGGAAATTTGGACACTACCCAGAGCGGAGATGGCGCACTTTTGGCCTTCACGCCCGCTGTGTATTATAATAGGAAGGGATAGAAGGGGGAAAGGGGGAGGGGCGGGGGTGGTCCCGCGAGTTTTATTCACCACTCAAGAGAGATTTACGACCCACGCCCCACGGTCACCGTGCACACCGTGCATTGTCTGACGCACCTTGTCCAGAGGGTGACCAGGGTGACACCCGAGGCGACTCTGGCAAAGACAAAGACCGGCCCCTCCACGCATGGCAACGCTATTATAGCGTGCTGTCTTCTTTCAATTCATTGACCGACGACGAGGCGTCTGCCTGCGTCGCGCGTCGTGGTCAGATTTTTGTCGGGGGGCTGTCGCTGCCCTGGGCATCAGAATAGCCGAATATAACCAGGAAAATGTATTTTTTGGAGGAGGAAGTAAGGAGACAGTAAGGCGCAAAACTGTTCTCTACATCGCGGCAGGGAGAAGTGGAGATTTCGGAAACCAACCTGGGTAGGCAATTTGTAGAACTTTCTGCTTCTAAGGAGGCAAAAAGTGCGATACGGAAGGCTGCCCAACTGCCCCCGAGCGCCGCGCCGCTGCGCCGAGTCGTTGGTGCAGCGGTGCTGCGGCGGCGTGGCGGCAGTAGCGGCCCAGCGGCGCGCTTCCAGGAAAGTGTCGTGTTCTCGGCGAAAAGCAAATGAACCAAATGTGATAATTGTAAAGCGCCGAGTTGTGCGATCGGCTCTACGGCACACGGCGCAGGCGATCGATTCCGAAGACTCGTTTCGTCACTCTGTCTCTCTCGCACTCAACTGGACCGTTCCGCATGGGTGCGAGATAGACAGCCACGAAAGCACTGTTCGTAGGCAGCGTGCAGGCATGAGAGAAGGGCGCAGGGACACTAGAAGGGACAATACGGCGGGCAGGGAAAGATGCGAGAAAGATGTCGAAGACGCCTGCAGACGCCTCGTTCTGGGGGCTGCACTAGGTGCGAGAGAGACAGAGCGAGGAAAAGGATCAGTTGTGGTCTAGCCTTTCAAGTCAAGTCGAAAACTACTTTAGAAATACCGGGTGTCCGACTGCCGAGCGACCGCAACACTTCAAACGTCGGGTATTTGGGGAGGGGGGAAGAGGGGGTAGGCGGGTCGGATTCTTTTGCGACTGGTGATGTCTGGTGATCGTGCAAGACTCGATGATCGATGATCTAGACTGGAAATAGAGGCGGCGGGAGGCGGGGCGGCCGGCCGGGCCGGGCGGGTGTTCTTCAGTGTCACCCTGTCACCCTGTCACCCCCACCCCAACCCTGCGCTGCGGTGTGCGGTGGCCTGGTCCTGGTCCCTGCCCCGCCGCGCTCGCTTCGCTGCGCCTCCTCCTCCCCTCCCTCCCCCTCCCCCCTCCCAGTCCAGTCAAGTCCTCAGTCTGGCGCTTATCCTTGCCGAGGGAGGACGTGGTGGTGGAGAAGCATTCAGCGGGAAAGGCCGCCGGGAAGGCTGGACGCAACGTGAGCAACGGGCACATATGCCACCCGGGAACGCGCGAACACGTGCCCGAACGTGAGGCGACCGACATGGAAGACCTCTCCAAGATGCGCTGGATTGCTGGGCTGCTGGTCATCCTGGCTATCGGTAAGTCGTTCCGCGATGTTTTGCTGGCGGTGCTGAAACTGCGGACGGCCGTTGCCTTACGAAGGGTCTCATGGTTTGCACACGCACCTTGTTCGCGACGTCGCCTTGTATCTGCCGGGTCTCGGCTGCTTGACAGTGTAGGAGGACAGCGCTGCCCCATCGCTTCAGCTCCGTCTAGTCATGGAGTAGCTTGTCTCCATGGTCTAGTGCTCTATTGCTTGGGTTCGATGCCGGGTGGGTTCTGTTCGAGCTTCGGCCTCAGCCTCCCTTTTCCCGTTTCCCGAATTTCCTTGCCGATCACGGTACGGTACGTGACTCGGCGCGTGAATTTTCCCGTCCACGTCTCTCTCGCTGCTTTCCCCCTTTTTATGCAAACGGAGAAAAATGTTGTTTTGGTCATGCCGCCGTCCGTGCGTCCGTGCCCCGCCCGGAGTGTCCGGCCCCGCAGCACGGCGGCATGACGGCGGCCCCCTGCTGCCCCTCGTAAACACATCAGAGATCGTCCGGGATTCAATTTGAATTTCCCCCTTGTTCGGTCCGGGGTCCGCACTTGGACCGCTTCGAGCCGGCGCTCACAGTAGGAAGTCCAAACTCCAGCCTTCGCCCCGCCGCGCTCGAGTGTCTCCCGGGCTGTCAAAGCGAAAGAGAGAGAGGGAGGGAGCGAGGGACCCAACATCCTGCGTGTTGCGTTACCAGTGAAAAATGGATCCATGTCGCGCCCCCTATCTGTCCAGGTATTTCCATGATATACAGTACACATAAGATACCTCAGAGCACGGGGGGGGGGCATCTCGGTTTCGGCTGAAGCCCGCTAAAAAGCTGAATTTGGGCGGGCGGGTTCGGGCTCTGCGTCGCTCTGCGTGCAGTCTGCGTGCGGTATGGCGCCCCGCTGACGCCCCCTCCCCCCCCCCCCCCTGCGACCCGGGCCGACTCAACCCCACAGCTTCCTCGAACTGACATGTCGCCGTAAATCAAGGCACAAGTGACGGCGGGGCTGCGGGGCACTGCGGGGCTGGCGGCCTCGGGGCCGGTCCGTCAACCAGGAGTCAGGCCGCCAGCCCCGCCACGCCCCGCCCCGCCAGCCCCGTCGCCCTTATTAATTAGCCTCTAGGAAGAGATTGCGGAGTGTTTCCGGCGACTGCTCGTTACTCGCTGGGCAGGTGCGCGCGATTATTGCCCCGGATTAGCAGTCGGCTTTGGCGAACGCGCCTCGCCACGCGGATGAAACGTTTTGGCGAAGTAGTTCGGGAAAGGCTGCCCCGCCCTGTACTGCTAGGCCAGCCCCGGCCAGGTCGTGCCACGCCGCGCCCCGCGCCCCACCCCCTCTGGCATCGTCGGCAGGTATAAAACCGCAGAGACGTCCGGGCCTCATCGACAAGCTATTGCTTTTAGTTAGTCTGCTACTGATAATGCGTGGGGTTCCTCCTCGAAAGTGTCCACACGTCCACGTGCACACACAGAGGTACCCACTCTGGCGCCATGTATGTTGGCGCGCGCGCGCGGCGACGCGGAATTAGACGTTCATCCCCTTGCAGGGGCAAAACGTCCCGGAGATCTAAACGCTCGCACTGTTGCAGGACACGGCCGGGCGGAGCTGCTCCTGCGTGACCCTCTGCTTGCGGGCGACTGGGACGACGCGCGCTGCGACCGCCTCGCCGAGGACGTGGCGGACGCCGACCAGAACACCGTGGTGGACAACCCGCCCAAGATGGCCGCCAAGTGGGTCTCCGAAGGGTAAGTGTTTCGCACGTCTACTTACTAGTCATGGTCTATAGTCGCGCGGATTTGCGTGAGCTTCATAAGCTCGTTAGGTAGGTAGCACACAGCGTCAGGGGTTCGTGCACTAGCGTGCCGAGAGTGAGTGAGAGAGACCGGCTGGCGTTGATTCGCACCGCAGCGTGGCCAAGCTGCGTCGAGCGCGTCCGAGCAGTATCGGTATTCATAGCTCCATTGCACGAAAACGCTCAAAGATGGCAGTTCGGTGGCAAGTGGCAAGGCCATCAGCTCCCCCTTTCATCCCGTGCTTCCTTTCGGGACTCTACTCCCACGGTGCTGGCCCCACCGGCCCTGCTGGTTCATGTATTCTCGCACAGTAAAAAAAGATTCGCTGTTTTGGTGGTCGTTCTATATCCAATCTCACCGAAACGGGTACCGCCACAAGCCCGGCGACGGTCCGTCACCAAAACGGTGACCTGCGTCACCAGGTGGTGTTCCGCCAGAGAGGTTAGGATGACCACAACAATTGTTTTTGAGCTGTCTGTGCATATTTGTGCGTGCCCGCCGGCAATGTTACGCTTTGATGAGTCACGCGAATGATTACTGACAGCCCCTGACTTGTTTTGTGTCCTATTTCACATTAATACGACGATTAAAAGTCGCTGGCGGGAGGGTGACTGCAGTGCCGTTCTGGTGAGGTGGCTGCTCCGGAACGGACCGAGCGCCACCGAAACTAGACCGAGCGTCGCCGAAACGAACAGAGGGCCGCCAGAACAGTTTGAGGGTGTCGCTGTTCTTGTAATATTCTCGTTTTGGCGCCCAGACGTCACCGAATCGGCGAATCTTTTTTTACTGTGCGGCAGTGCCTGCGTGTGTACATGTGCATGACTGTGAATGTTTACTCTGAACACACTGTCCTGGCTTCTCCAAAATCAGACAATGGAGTGCTGGAGTCGCTGGCGGTCGCTGGAGTGGTGGCTGCACCTTGTCTGCACACAGGCTGCACTGCGGTACGGTACACCCCCGCCACCCAGGGAGATGCACGGCCCAGCCTCAGAGCGGAGGCCAGTGCAGCAGAAGACGAGGGATTGGATTCTGCGAGGCGCAGCGTGTGGTGCGGGCGCGCAGGTTGCGGCAGTGCATGCAGTGCAGCCACCCAGGACGACGCGATGCGGGGCGAGGACCACGGCATCAGGTCGGGGGCACACTGCGCCGCGCCGCGCCCGGACCGTGTTCATACAATTAAAATGTGAACCCGAGGCGTCCACTGTCACAACTCGCCTTTGTTTTGCTGCTGCATCCCCCTGAATCGGCCCACCAGTCCTTTCCCCCGTGTCCCCCTGTAGGCTGCCCCCCGCCCCCACTCCCGCCCGCCGTTTTGGGGCAACGGGGGCTCCGCTCGGTCAGGTTAGGTGACCCTCGTCTCTGTCCAAGTGACAGGTCTCCGTAGTGGCTGCTGCACGGCTCCGTAAAGAAAACACAAAGTCTCTTTTTATTTTTCTGGAATTCGCCTTCTTTTTTCCTAGGACGGGTGTAAGCGCGGGAATAAGGACCACGTCCGGAGAGATGTTTTTTTTTTTCGATTTACCTTTTGTACATGTATATTCAAGTTAAATTTTTGCTGCATTTTTGCTTTTAATGAGTTCACTTTTTTTTAAACGCGGATTTATTTCTAGCGCGATGCGTCTCGGCTGGGGGTGGCCGCGGTGGCCCCGGGGGCCTGGGACTACCTGGTTAGCCAGCAGGCCATCGGCCGCCCATTATCATATTAATAGTAATAAATGACGTATTCATCGGGTCGGCTGGCCGGCTCGGCTGTGCCCTGGTGGGCCCCGCTGGCTTGCTCGGCTGGACTCGGCTCGGCTCGACTGCCTCGCAGCGGGGAACAAAGGGCTCGACTCCATTTCGCTCTGCGGTTTGGTTTATTCGATCCCTCTGCATGCATTACGGAATGGAAAGGGATTCGGAATAGCATTAGTTATTTACTCCTATCCGAGTCGAGCTCTGGGACATGTTTACCGTCGGCGGGCCCATGTTTGCCCGGGTCGTGGGTGACCAGTGGGTGACCAGTGGGTGACCTGTGGGTGACCTGTGGGTGACCAGTGGGTGACCAGTGGGTGACCAGTGGGTGACCAGTGGGTGACCAGTGGGTGACCAGTGGGTGACCAGTGGGTGACCAGTGGGTGACCAGTGGGTGACCTGTGGGTGACCAGTGGGTGACCAGTGGGTGACCAGTGGGTGACCGGGCGACTACAACGGGACGACGGCGTTCTGAGATGACCGCTCTGACTGCTGCCCGTCCCGCAGGCCCTGTGTGTCCCCTCGCTGTCCCCTCAGGTGTCGGACAATATTGTTCCCTGTGAGAAAATACTCGAGCCGGCTGGCTCGGCTCACCTCGGCGCGCCGAACACCAAGCGGGCATCTCATGATTTCCAGTGGACGGCGGGGCTGGTTGTAAAACGATACGCCCCTGCGGTGTCCGTCGCGTCGCATCGCGTCGCATCGTCGCATCGCGTCGTGAGGCAAGTCCCCGGCGCAGCGCGCATTCCTTGGGCAAACACCAGCCTTCGTGCATGCTTGCCATGCTTGCAGCGAGGGTCGCGGCGTCCTGGCCTCGGTCTTGGCAGCGTAAGCAGCGCATGCACGCACGTCGAGTGCCGCTGGCTCTTGCTGTGCGTCGCGCTGTGCGTCGCGCTGTGCGTCGCGCCCTGCGTGTACGTAGGCGGCGCGGCTCCCGCTTTCGCGGCGGCAGGCTGCAAGCAGGCTGCAAGGGCTTGACTTGACACCCTGCCTTGCCCTTGCCCTTGCCCGCCCGAAGTGGCCCCAACACAGGTGGGTGGCCTTTCTCAGCGCGGTGTGGTGGGGCCAGTGGGGCCGGGTGGCACCGTCTCGCCGTCTCCGGCGTGCACATCGATTCAGCGCCTCTTATCTCGCTGCCGGAGTCTGCTGCCTGCCCTGTCTGCCTGTCCCTGCACTCCTGCACTGCAGTGCACTGCAGTGTGCCCGACCACACAAAGGGCCCACAAAGGCACGTCGCCATTTTCGCATTTCACGCCGTCGAGCTGTCGAGCTCATCGAACTGCGGCCTGGCCGGTGGCCTTCCAGGCCAAACATCCCGCCTCGCCGCTTTCTCCCGTCCAGAATGACTATTTTGCGCTCGACTTGACACCTTGTGGGGCTGGCTGCGCTTTTGGTTGGAGGACTGCAGCTGCTGGCCTCCTGGCTGATGTGTGACGAGGAAGGGAGTGGGAGGAGGGGTGTCGCCCTCAACACAACACCACCCTTTTGGGCCCCGCGCGTGTGTTACCGCCAGCCGGCGTCAGCCCTGTCACTTTGGAAGGCCGGAAAGGAAGGGGCGGCGGCCTGGCGGCCTAACTAGGTGCAAGGCTTGTGCAGGGGGAGGAGGTGGGGGCGGCGCGGGGGCGGCGCGGGGGCGGCGCGGGGGCGGCGGCAGCGCCAGTAAACGTACAGTACAGTACCGCGAAGATGGAGGGACTTTGCCGAACCGCGGCGAACGCACACGACGACCCCGCGCCACGCCTCGCCTCGCGGTCGTAAACCTACGAGTAAACACGCCTGCCGGCTGCTCCAGCGACACGCAGAGGGGAAAAAACGAAAACGAGGTTGAAACAAAAACAGGACGAAGCAGATGCTGTGCCAGAATGTGTGCGCATGTGATGCCGTGTGTGTATTTATAAATACTAATGTGTGTGTGTGTGTGTGTGTGTGTGTGTGCGTGTGTCTCAGGCGTGGACTGAAATTTGGAAATCTAGTTGTACCGCCCGAACAGATAAAAGTTCTAACCCGTCGACTTAAAATTTACTTCCAAACTTTCTGTCTCATGGTGTCGCCTCCGCTGCGTCGGGCTGGTAGCCCCGTTGGCTGTGACGCCGTGGTGAGGCGTGTAGCACATAGAGGCGGCAAGGCAAGGGCTTTTCCCTCTCCCCTCTCCCCTTCTCGGGGAGTTTATTTTTCATGGGACCGTGGCTCATGGTGTGGCCACACTGCTTTCCCGCCTGCCTGCGCCTGGGTCTGCCCGCCCCTGCTTCCGGCCGCTCGTTGGTCTTGCCTCGTTGGGGCTGGCGCTGCTGGCGCTGCTCGGCGCGGACCCCTCGGGGGGCCCCGAGCCCCAAGTACCCCAAAGGCGTCGAGGCGCGACCCGACAACGCGCCCCTCGTGTCACCTTCGCGGTTCTCGTGCGCTTTGCGCGTTTGCTCATGGCGTGCTGCTGTTGTTCCAGGTGCGAGGTGCGGCCCGGCCCGGAGTTCCTGCTGCGCTCCTACACCTTCCACCGCAACGGCACGTTCCGCCTGCTGCAGTTCCACTACGGCGAGGAGTCGTGCTCGCTGCCGCTGTACACCGTGGCGGCCAAGGGGCGGTACCGGGCGCGCGGCCGGTCGTGGCTCACGCCCGCCGCCACCGAGGCCGAGTACACGCTGACGCGCGTTACGGTGACGGCCCAGAGCGCCGAGGTGGCGGAGGAGCTGGCCGCGCGGGTGAACGCCGCCTGCCCGGGGCAGGTCCGCCGCCGCTGGAAGCCGTACCGGGAGTACGTGGTGCTGAGCATCAGCGAGGACGACGCCGACGACGCCGACGTGCAGTCGCCGCGCAACAACCTGCCGCCCAGCGAGTCGCACGGCCCCGGCCAGGGCAGGGGCCTCGGCAGGGCCCTCGGCAGGGCGCGGTCCGTGAGGCTCATGTCCACCACGGACGTGGACTGCCTGTCGGCGCTGCACGCCGCCTTCCACGAGCTGCAGTTGGTGCGGACGCAGCGGCGCCCCCAAGGCCCGCAGCCTCGCGCCGCCCCGGCCGCCCCCAGGACGGGGGCACCCGCCCGCCACGAGCTGCTGCTCGGGGACGTCCACTCGCGGCCGGACCAGCGCGGCAGCTACCGGCCCACGGCCTTCCAAGTGCCTCTTCTCAAAGCTGACCAGGTGAGTCTGGCTTCGAACCTCGGACTTCCGCTTCGCCGTGACGTGCGGCGGCTGTCCCTTGTCCCTTTGTCCGCCACCCTGGCCAACGCGGTGCTGCGCGGCCCACGCGGTGCGTCGCGTCGCAAGGCGTGCCCGGCCCCCCCGGCACCGGCCCAGGGCATCTGTATGCGCGGGTGACACTCGCGGTCCCATCACACATTCACGTCAGCCCGCCACCGCGGATAGCACCCCGTCACGCCTCACCTCGCCTCGGCTCCCGGATGCAGCCCATGCAGCCCGTGGCAGCAGCTCAGCTGGGCTCAGCGGTGACAGCCCGCATTGATTGATCTTGTCTACGCGTCAAGTGTAGACCGTCCGGCCGCCCGCCAAAGAATATCCTCATGTCTGTACATTGCGCGCCGCGCCCCGCCACGCCCCGATGAGGCGATAGAGCCGTCGGGCTGCCGCTGGCTGCCGCGCGTCGAGCCCCACCCCATCCCGCACGGCCCGGCCCCGCCTCCTTTTCTCGCCCTGTCCAAAGTAATCAAAGTAACGCGCTCAAAGCGGGGTGGGCCACAATGCCTTATCCGGTAATACCTGGACCGATAATTTTCCGCCGCAACTCCGTTTAGCCCGTCACGAGCTCCTCGCCGAGCGGACGACGGCGACGGTGTGCCACACCAAGCCACCCCGAGCTGGGGCCAGGGCCCTCGGAGGATGGCTTGACGGCGACGTTGCCCGCTCGCCGGACAGCAACTCCGTGCACGGCTGCGAGCCCGGCACGCCCGGCACACATCGCCGCGGCCCCGTGCTGTGTCCGTGGTGCGGCCGTCCCTGCCTGTGCCTTGCAGGCCTTGCAGTGCCTGGGCTCGTAAATGTAAATCTTGTCCGGAACGAATAAATACGCGACGACTCGACGGTCCTGGAGTCCTGAACCCCCCGCTGCCCCCGCCGTGCCCTTCGCCGCCGTCGCTCGAGCGAATTCGGTAGAAACCCTTTGAGCATACATGTGGCCCGCATTGTAAATCAGTGGGCCCCGCTCCCCACGCCAGTGCAAAACGACGACAACGCCCGTCCCGGGTCGCACATGAGACAGGGCGGCCAGGCCACGGCAGGGCCTCGCCAGGGCTGTCTGGCGGGAAGGTTACGGCGTCCACTACCTCGCTAAATAAATGGTAACGACCAACGACCCACTCCAGGGCCCGTCCCGCAAAGCATGACCCGACCTGGTCGCAGCAGTCCTGACTCGCGACTGACGGCGACGGCCCGGCTAAATTGAAAATGATTCGGCGGTGTTGTGTTGACGATCGCTCACGCCCTCCTTCCTCCCTGTTGCAGGCTCACGGCTGCCACGTCTGCCACGCCGTGGCGCGCGCCTCGGAGCGCTCGCCGCCCAACCTGCACGTCAAGCCGCGGCTGCCGCCCTACCTGGGCGGCGACTGGGTGAGCAGCCGCTGCGAGACGCGGCCCCTGGGGCTGTTCCTGCGCCGCCGGCTGCGGGTGCGCGCGGGGGCGGGGTCGCTGGAGGGCTGGCACGCGTGGCAGGGCGAGTACGAGTTCTACTCGGACCCCCTGTGCACCATGCCCACCTTCACGGCCACCGAGGCGGGCCGCTACACCGTGGGCGGGCTCAGCACGCAGGTCCTTGGCGCCCTGCAGGCGGACTTCCACGTGGAGCGCGCCGCCCTCACCGTCCTGGACGCCGACCTGGTGGCGAGCCTGCAGGCGGACCCGCTCTGCGGCGGCGGCCTCGGCTTCGGGGAATGGCGTGTCGGAGTGCCCCGCGACCTCACCGCGGCGCACGGCTGCGCGTCCCTCGGGCTGGTGGTGCCCGCCATCCGCTACGAGCTGGTTCGCGTCGACGTGGACACCTGGGGGCAGTCCCTGCTGTACCTGGGCCAACCCGACACGGAGAACAGGCGCGGGGGGCCGTCGGAGAGGCCCACAGCCTACCAGCCGCCCCTGGTGCGGTGTAGGGGGCTGCCCCCGCCTGTCCACGCCCTGCCGGCCCTGGACGCCCTGGCCGTGGAGGAGGACGACATCGCCAACGGGCTGGCCGACGACCGGGACTACTCGGTGTCCGCCGCCAGGGGGAGCCACTGCGCGGCCTCCAGACTCGTCGCCGCGGGCCTCACCGTCTGGCTGGCGCTGCTGAGAAGGATGTCGCGAGTGTAGATGATGTTATCTGTGATTTATTGAGTGTGTGTTTCAGTGAGAGTGTGCAGTGGAGTGAATGATTGTGTGTGTGTGTTTGTTTGTGTGTGTGTGTGTGCGGGCGGGCGCGCATGTGTGTATGTGTGTATTTTAGTGAAGTATAATTCTACTTCTGCCCAGGGAAATTGTCTGATCAGTCAAACTTTGATTTAAGTCGTCAGTGTGCCATATATTTGTGCCACTAACTGTGGAGAAACTCCTGTTATGCTTACCTTAAGTAAATGTTTATGTAGATTATTATCATAGAACAGCCTTGTTGTCCTGATGAACTTTAAATCTGTTGATGGATCCAGCAGGTCCTGAAACTATGGAGCAACCCCCTGTACAGTAGCTTCTCTTTTTGCCATACTGATGGTGGGTCTTTTCAGACCTTTGAAATAAGGGAGTACTCTATGTAAATTGTTGTAATTTCAGTTCACTATAACTGATTTGATCATTCAGATCTTTCCAGAGGAAGCCCCTTTTACTAGTGAACCTTAAAAAAGGTAGTGTGAACCCTGTAATTTGTTTTAATTAAGGCATCACAACTGATCTGATCATTCAGATCTTTCTGGAGGAAACCCCTGTACTGAATCTGTAAAAAGGGAGTAAATCCTGACTTAGTTTACTTAATTAAGGTTTATCGCAATTGATCTGAAAGTTAAGATCTTGTGGGAGGAAACCCCTGTACTGAATTTGTTCTTGTTATGTTGTCTAAAATAATGTAGGTCCATAGTTTTCTGTCACTATAGATGAGATGTTCAACACATCTGTTTGGAGTAAATTCCTGTAAGAAACATTTTTATATCGTAGCGTTGAAAGACACAGATCTTTCCTATTTTTGTAACTTTTTTTGTTGAATCTTTAATCGACCATTATATTTCATATTTCATCCATCCTTCTATTTTCATGTAGAAGAGCCGAGGGAAGCGTACTAGTGAACATTTTCTTCTTGTTACCTACAAGATTCATTTCATTTTTTAATATCATATTAGGTTAAATAAATTATATCTGTTAGCATAGAATTGTAAGATGTCATCCACTCTTATATTTTAATGTAGGACATCCAAGAAACCCAAACCACCGGTATATGGCACATTTCATTTCTCAATCTACTCTTTTCGTTCATTTTTAATTTTTTGTTCCATTACCTTCTAAGTTAGTACCTGAACGAGCGCCTACTTTCCTACTTAAAAACTTGCAATGGGTAATTCATGATTTAATTGAACAAACTCACCAGTGATTTATTGTACATATTGCATAATTTTTAGCTTCTGTAACATATAGTTGAAGTGTTTAAAATGTAAATAGTAGATACAATGTGTCTAACTCTGAGTCTGCATCATACTTTTGTAAAGGAATTATTGTTTCTTCTTTGTAAGAACGACATAGTCATTTCTGTGAATTTATTCAAGTAAATGATGTTAAATATTTAGCTTTAAACCCATGATTATAATGGGTAGGGATGAACCATAACCAGTGATTTGTACATTTCTCTATTTTTATACATGTTATTTATTGAATAAAATTATGAACTGTTACAATACATCATTACATTATTCTATTCCTGCGTAGAACCTAATCAGAAATGTTTATCGCAATAATTTACAAGGAAAATCAAATACTGCTTCTTGACGACCGTTATGGCGTTGTGGCGTCAAACTCTCTCGGCCACCTGGACCCAGAGGTCGTCGGGGGGCGTCATGATGAAGCCGAACACCGCATCCTCCTCGGTCTCGGGCACGGCCGCGCCGTCGGGCATGGTGAAGCGGAAGCCTTGCAGGAGGGCGGCCAGGAACAGGAACGAGTTCTGCCGGGCAAAAGTCTCGCCGGCACAGAGCCGCTTGCCTGGAACAGAAGGCCATGATGAACACTGGCCAGCTTGGATGAGCCGCATACAGGGCAACTGCTAACCCAGTCCGAAGGGCACGCTGGTGTCCTTCCTCTTGAGCTGGCCGCTGTGGTGCTGCAGGAAGCGTTCCGGCATGAACTCGAACGGCTTCTCGTAGACGGTCGGGTCGTGGTGGGCCGCCCACATGTTGGGCACGAGCAGCGTGTCCTGCGGGAACATTGGCGGTCAGTGGAGCGGGAGGCGCCCGGCAACGTAGGCCACCCAACTCGCGCCGCTGTCGGCTGGCTGGCCTACTCGCCACGCGCGCGCGATAAGAGCGTGCGAGGCTCGAGAGCGAGAGCCACGAGAACAACACTCAGTCGGTTACACGCAAATCAATGGGCTACCTTCGGCACGTAGAAGCCCCGGAAGTACGAGTCCTCGGTGGCGCGGTGCATCAGCGTCAGCGGGGTCCCCGTCATGCGCAGCGTCTCTCGGAGGAAGGCCTCGGTGTAGGGGAGGCTGCGAGTCAAGACACAAGAGGCGTACGTTGGGTGGCCTACTCGCGGCCCGCACGGCGGTGGCCGGTTGCAGCCGGGCCCTCAACTAGGTAAACTCTGCCAGTCTCTGCTTACTTGACGCGGTCATTGAGGTCTGGCAATCTGTCCAAGCCGACGACCTCCTTGATCTCCTGGTGCGCGCGGTCCGCCTTGTCCGGGTGCGCGATGCTGTTGAGGACGGCGAAGGCCAAGGCGCTGGGGATGGCCGTTGACGCCGGGAAGAAGTAGTCCATCAGGGTGAGCAGGAGCTGCAGCTCTGTGAAAGCGATTCGATCGTCATTTGTTATTGCGTCCCTACGGCCAGCGGCGGCCAGCGGTTTGCAGACAGAACTGTGCACATGCAGAACCTGTGAATGACGAGTTTTCCCCAGCGCGTCCTTGCATCTCCAGCAGGTACTTGTCGCAGAACCCTCGGATGGCCTCCCCGTCGAAGGAGCCCTTGTGTTCGCTTATTTGTCGCTGTCAGATGTGAGAAACACACAAGTTAACGCCGATCGCTTTTAAGAGACGAGGGGTACACAAAGGGCACTACGCACCGACATGAAGTCGAGCAGGGCGTCGTTGCCGGTCTTGTAGTCCTTGAAGCCGAAGCCGCTGGGGGTGAGGAAGCGGAGCCAGGGCGTGGCGTCCAGGGCGCCGCCGGACGCGTTGCCGGCGCGCTGGAAGCCCTTGATGAGGCGGGACAGGTCGCGGGCCAGTGGGTACTGCTCCGGCGGCAGGCGCGTGCCCGTCAGCACGGCCAGCACGGTGTTGGTGGAGTGCGCGGCGAACAGCTCCGGCAGCAGCACGCGGCCGTCGCGCGCCACGTCCTGCCGAGGGTAGCCCAGGGTAGCCGAGGGCCCGGCGTTACTACCAGCGGCACTCCCTAGTCGCGGCCTGACCTCGACTCACCTTGTCGTACGGCGACACGCTGCCCTTGAGGATGTTGACGATGCCCTGCACCTCCTCCAGCACCATGGCCTCCAGCTTGTCGAAGCGCCGGCCGAAGCCGTAGTCGCGCAAGTGCCGCAGGGAGAAGCGCCGTTGTTGCGCCCAGTAGTCGCCGTCCGTGAAGAAGATGCCTGCGGTGCCAGGCCGTCCGTCAGGCCGTCAGGGGCGTCAGGGCAAAGGGCTAATCGGGTTCGTCACGAAACCAAACCAGATCGCCCGGGAGAGCAGGGCCTGTACTGTACAGTACTATCTTACCGTGCAGGCGGTTGAAGGACCTGATCCTGGCCGTGAAGCAGTCCGGGCGGCCCTGGAAGGCGGGGTGCGACAGCATGGCGTGCACCGTCTCGTGGTCGTTGGCCACCACCACGGGGAAGGCGCCCACGTACACGCTGATGAGCGCGCTGCAGTAGTCCTTGGACAGGGCCAGCAGCGCCTTGTGGGGGCTGCGGTAGTCGCGCAGCATCACCTGCCACAGGTTGCCCCACAGGGGCAGTCGCGGCGGGCCTGCAGCAGACACGCGTCTTCAGGTTCAAGGTGGCGGCCCTCGAAAGAGGCAACGGACTGCTGCGACCAGAAGGTGAGGCCGACGCCTGACCTCCAGTGATGACCTGCCGAATATCGTACACTTGCCACGCTAAGAAAACAGCTGTCTCGAGGAATCGGGAATGAATTGGGTTGCGATTGGTTTTCCTTTTCTCGCGTCATTCTTCTCGAGGCGAGAGTCTTTGCACTGTCGATGGCGTCGATGATGGGGCATCGGGGTCGCGGCGACTGATGCACGGGGTGCGCGGGTGAGGAAGGTCAGGGCATGGCCAGGGCGTCGCAAATATGTCAAGCGCTAAATGTCTTCACCACGCCGCCGCGGCCGCAAGAGATAAAAAAGTCTTCATTCGAGCGCTTATCAACCGACTGTATTCTGATTCATTTCGTGAATACACTGAGTTGCAGACCTTGAAAAACAGCCACGGAGTCGGTTTACTTCCGATAGAACAAAATGTAAACAAGAAATAAATGTTCGGGCGTGTACTCTGGACACATCAGGACACACCCGCGAGGCTGGGACTGTGGGACTCACCTGGCGGGTAGTTTGGTGGCCTGTTGAACGCGTGCCGCAGCAGGCACGCCACCAGGGCAATGAAGAAGACGGCGAGGAGGATGGGGGACATGGTGTGCCGGGAAGACCCGAGGAGAGCCGGTGCGGCGAGGGTGGCGACGAGGGGGCAGCGAGGATGGCGATGAGGATGGCGACGAGGGGGCAGCGAGGATGGCGACGAGGATGGCGGCAAGGATGGCGGCACGGATAGCGACGAGGATGGCGACGAGGATGGCGACGAGGATGGTGACGAGGATGGCGGCAAGGATGGCGGCAAGGATGGCGGCAAGGATGGCGGCAAGGATGGCGGCAAGGATGGCGGCAAGGATGGCGGCAAGGATAGCGACGAGGATGGCGACGAGGATGGCGACGAGGATGGCCGAGCAGTGTCACGAGCCGCACTCGCCGCCGCTACTTAAGGGAGTCGGCGGGGCTTGGCTCGGGGGTTGGCATGGAGAAGCTTGAAGCTTGTCGGCGATAAGCGGAAAAAGAAGAGCACGGCCAGCCGGCGAGGCGGCGAGGCGCGACGACGAGTGCGCAGACGCGAGGCGCGGAGGCACGGGAAGAGGCGTGCTCAATGAAGAATGAATGGAATCCAAAATTAGAATTTACTCGCGTTTACCGCGTTTATAAGTCAAGAAGTTCTGAGTTCCAGCCCCAGGGTCCCGTTCAAGCATAAGCAGAAAATGAAGACGGAAAGTCAACAAACATTGAAAACAGCTGTACTTATAATGTTGTGGCGGTACAGGTACAGATTCTCCTTAAATCAAGAGTTTGGCCTCTCAGGGCGTCACCCAGTTTTATTATCACAGAAACAGAGGAACAAGGGAAAATATAATGTCTGTTGCAGCAATGCGCATAACGCGGACGCATGCTACATGTCGCTTAATTGGGTATTTCGGGTGGCGGCTGCCACGCTCCTCACAATCGCGAGACTGGAGCACACTTGTTTGATTCGTAGCGACCAAACTTCCTGCCCTGCACCGAGCCCCGCCGATGGTCTCGAAAGATAGAGCCAGCTGCCAGCCAAAGTCCCTGCGGCGCCGCGTCCGCGTCCGCGTCCGCGTCCGCACTACACGCGCGGGAAAAGAAACCACTGCTCTCTGCGTCGCCGGCGCCGTCGCCGTCCTAGCCCTTGATCTTCTCTGCCTCGGTGGCCACAGCCTGGTACATCTCGACGCTGCCGTCGGCGTGGCGTGGCCTCCTCCCATGCACGAGGCGCGCGACGGGCGGTGAGAGCAGGTCTGGGTGGGGCAGGTCGTCGAAGCCTCCTTTGAGGCCGCGCCGCGTGCGCGCGCCCCGCACCGCGGCACTCACCAAGACCCCCACCACCACCGTGGTGGTCACGCCCAGCACCACGTAGTAGAAGGGCGACAGGCGGAACAACGGGAACAGGTCCTCGTCGTACACCACCGCGGGGCCTCTCGCAGGGAAGGGTGGCCTCGGCGTCGTGGTCCCGGACAGACCCGTGGCGCTATGCATGCGGAGGCTCAGTGTTAGGACTGCCGTTTGCAACTCACCAGCTGAATGCGAACGCGAGGCCTCCGCGTCTTACTCGCAGCCGTCGGTCCTGGTCGGCAGCGGTGGGTACTTGATGGCGCCGGACTTCTTGGCGTGCAGGCCGCCTATGCACACGATCGTCATGAGGCTCAGGCTGGCCACGGCTCCGCTCATGGCGCCCACGGTCTCGGCCCAGGGCACGAACAGGCCCAGCAGGAACAGGCCGAACGTCGCCCCCGTAGTGACGCCCGACACGCTCAGGGCCACCTGCAGACAGCACCGCGTCAGAGGAGCGCGACGACGACACGACGACGACACGACGACGACACGGCGACCGCCGCCGCCGCCACCGGGACACGACGATGCGCGCTCACCTCCAAGATCGCACCCAGGTGCTCGACGACGAACACCATCAGGACCACGCCCACGCCCAGCAGCAGCGTCAACCCTTTGAGGATGAGAGAGGCCCTCTTCTCGCTGGGCTTCTTGCGTAGCCGCGTCTCGATGAAGTCTTTGTATATCACCCCGGACAGCGTGTTGAGTACAGATGACACCGTGCTGTCGCAAATAAAAGATGAGTACATTGCGCAATCCACGGAGTGGTTCTCGGGTTGCGGTGCTGTGTTCCCTGACCTGAGCGCCGCGCTGAACACGCCCGCGATGAACACGCCGGGCAGCCCTGGCCAGTGGCCGGCCACGTCCATCACGAAGTGCGGCACCAGGTTGTCCGAGTGCGGCACCACCTGTCGACAGGACCGGAGGCCGCCGTCAGCAACTCACCCCGACAACACAGTGTACGAAGATAAGGGCCGGGACGGCAACCTTGCGCGCCACGGGGTCACAGTCGTAGTACACGGCGTACATGACGAGGCCGGTCACACACGACAGGCCGCGTGTCACCACGAAGCCCAGCGCCAGCATCCACGCAGCCCTGCAGCACACCGACAGGACACTCAGGACTAAAATTAGGGATTCGACCTCACTCAACGTCTCACTCGCTTTCATTCAGATTAATCTCAAGTCTTGACTAAACATTTCCTGAAATATTTGAATCCAATGCTTCTATATTGGAGGGAAGACAGGCGTTGAATGGGTGGCCTACCCTCCCGGCGGCAGTGCGGCTGCTCGCGCGGCCCACTGGCGCGCTTACCTTTTGGCGGCCGACAGGGTGGGTAGCGCGAGGTACCGCTGCACGGACGACGGGGACACTGCAAGCGAGTTGAGGAAGTAGAAGCCCTCGCCCAGCAGCACGTTCCAGAAGGTGGCTCGGATGGTCGGGTCCAGGGTCATGCTGAAAGCAGCACCCTTCAGCCTTTGGTATCGGCGGCTAGAGCGCGGGCCTGCCGCACGCTACGCACGCTACGCACGCAAGCTGCATCAACTGACTTGAACATCTCCAGCCTGCCGCCGTCCGCCAGGCGACTCCACGTCTCCGAAAAGCTGCCCAGGCGGCTCATGCTGGCCCCCAGCACGACGAAGGACGCCACTACCAAGCTCACGAGCTGCAGCGCGTCGGTCCAGACCACGGCACGGATGCCGCCCTGCAACGCGGCAAGACGAATACGGGCAAGTCAAGCCAGTCCAAGGAGTCCGAGGGGCCGGTCCTCCTTGCGGGTTTTCGGCTGTCGTACAGTACTAGAGCCCTACATTCCCGAAGGGGCAATGTAAGGGCTCTTATCAAACAGCAGCCGTCGGAAGGCGACCGAATGTGCACGAGTGTCTACGCGGTTGCCTACTCGCCGGGCGGTGCGGCAGAGGCCGCGTGGACTGGGCGCAGCACTCACCAGGCAGGTGTAGAAGACGCACACGAGGCAAGTGAGGGGGTTGATGATCTGGACGTCCAGGCCACTCACTGAAAACACAGCGGGGCGACTCTGTAGGACGCGCTCTCGGAGAAGGCGCACTCGCGACGCGCGCAGCGTGAAGTGTCCGGGGCGTGCAACGTGCGAGCTATTTCGCTCGTGTTTGGCGCTATGTTTCGTGTTGTCGAGGTTAGGTCACTTTGCTTTCACATCACACAAATCGACAACTACCCCGCCCCGGACTCTGACCGTGTTGACCGTGGACCTACCTTGGTGCATGGCGAGGCAAGGCACGTACATGATGACGGACATAATGAGGTACTGGAAAGCAAAAGGGGGTTGTTGAAAAACGCATTACGGTCGCCAGCGTCGAGAGAGCGTCTCGCCGCGTACCGATCCCAGGATGTAGAAGACAGACGACATCGTCCGGAGTTTCTTGCAGAAGCGGTGCTCCAGGTACTGCGGGCGAAGAGAATCGTAGAGTAGATCGACAATACACGAAACGCGTGGGGGAGTGTGAGCGTGGAAAGGCAAAGAAGCGTTACCTCGTACGATGACTCGTACTGCAGCTTGTAGAAGGTGGGGAGGAAGAAGTAGACGACGAGGATGACCACCGGCACCCCAAGGAACAACACCAGCCCGATTTGGAAGCCGTACGCGTAAATGTCGGCCGGCACCGCCAACATTGTCACTCCGGAAATGTTACTAGAACAGCAGCAGAACAAGATGCCTTCCCACTGAGACAGAGTTTTGAGTTCAATTCTCCCTAAAACGGGTCAGTGGGAGGCGGGTGGATCCGTGTCGGGCTCGCGCCACCGCAACCCACCTGGCGATGAGGGACATGGCGATGGGGAAGATGCCCATGTTGCGGCCGCCCAGGAAGTAGTCCTCCAGGGACTCCTGCTTCTTGAAGAAGCCGTAGTACACGCCCACCAGCGCCGACACCAGCATCATGACCACGAAGGAGGAGTAGTCGAGCGCGCCGAAGCGCAGCGCCCCGTCGGCCGCGACTTGCTCCAAGCCGTCAGCCATGGCTGCCCTCGTAGTCTGAGTCTAGCGGTCGCGCCCTGCGAGTGAGCACGGCACAGCGATCCGCAGCGCGTAGCGCGTCCCTGCGGAGGTCCCAGTGGCAAGCCGCTCTCGACAAAGTGCCGCTGGTCTAGGCGCTAGTCACTAGGTGCAGCGGCGGGCTTTTATCACCCGTATTTACCCGCTCCAAACTCGAGACTGATAATGTCTTGTTCAAGATTCTTAACAGATGGTATGAGTAATCATTGTGTGTTTTGATAGGACGGCTGGTTCAGGCCTGATAGGATAAAGTACGTAGCAGCAAATGAAACGCGAGAGGTATTATAAAGGATGTGTTTTAATGTCACAGTTGTACAGTGGTACGTAAAAGTGTTCGGTGGCGTTTCTTGGAACAAACCTCTCGGGCTGCCCGATGATTGAGTTGGCATTTTAGCTCTCCGGCTCGACGTTGTCCTCGTCCTCGTCTCCACCCTGCCTACGCGGCCTACGCGGCCTACGCCCTAGCTCCCTGGCGTCGCCTCCTCCTCGTCCCCGTCTGGCACGGACACCTTGGCCTGCTCCGTGCCCAGCGCGGCCGCGTCCTCCACCGTGTCCGGGAGGCTCGTGTTGCTCGTCTCGGGGAAGCAGACGGCCAGCACGCTGTTGGCCAGCGTGGCGCAGCCGAACACCAGCATGGGCAGGGAGTGCATGTAGCGCGCCAGGAGCGGCGTCTGCGGCGCCAGCATGGAGCCCAAGTGGCCCAGCGTGGACGTGAAGGCGTACAGCGAGTGCCGCACCTTGGTGGGGAACATCTCGGCGGCCACCACGTAGATGACGGTGAAGGACACGGTGACGCTCAGCTTGGCCAGCATCACGACCATGGTGTGCGGCCAGGGCGAGCCTGCGTGCAGCCGGGCGTGAGAAGGCTGCGCAGGGCGAGAAGCACAAGGCGAGAGCGAGACTTACCCCCCTCGGGCAGGAAGTGGTACGTGAAGCAGCACACGGACGTGAGCAGCAGGAACACGCACAGCGTGATGCGGCGCCCGAACCTGTTCATGGTCCGCCAAGCCAGCAGCGCGCCGGGGATCTCCACTAGCACCACCAGCACGAAGTTGAGGTACCGGTCGCCCGACATGGACACCGAGTAGATGGACAGTCCCTCGTACACGAACAGGTTCACGATCCTGGACAAAAAGGGTGGCGTGAGTGCGTCGCACCCGAAAGAAAGACACGCCGTTGAGCAAGCACCGACCAGCAGATGCAGCAGTTGATGAGCCTGAAGACCAGGATGCGCGTCCGCAGCAGCTCCTTGAGCTCCGCGGAGAAGGCCCTGTTGACGGGCTCGTCGGCGCCGCCCTCCGCCACGGCCTTGGCGCGCTTCTCCACCTGCTCCAGCTGCTCGCGCTCCAGCTTGTCCAGCTGCAGCTCGGCGGACGCGTGGCGGTTGGTGCGCGCCGCCTTGCGGATCATCTGGCAGGCCTCCTCGGACCGGCCGTGCGCCACCAGCCAGTGCAGCGACTCGGGGATGAGCCTGCAGCACCAACACCAACGCAGCACCGATGTGATAGTACCAAGTGTCAACGCAACTTGGAAACGCAGCACCAAAGTGCAAATCACCAGCCTCAAATGCTCTAGATGACTGACCAGAGGAAGGAGAGGCTGGCCAGGGCGAGGAGGTAGCTGACGCGCAGCAGCCACCGCCAGTAGGGCATGGCCCAGGCCAGGCCGCCCAGCCCCGCCAGCCCGATGCCCCAGATGACGTGGCTGTACGCGCTCCAGCCTCCACGCATCCTCGGGGGCAGCAGCTCCATCCCTGTAAGCGACAGCACGGCGTCAGCACGGCGTCAGTGAGCGAGCACCTCTAGGGCGGTGCTTGTTTATTAATTAAAATAATCCAAAAATGTATTTTTAGAGTTACAGAAATCAACACGATAAAGAAAATTTCAGCGAAAGAGGGCACCCCGGCGAACCGGCCCTCTTCCCTGCGGGAGTGGTGCTCACCAGACAGTTCCCCCATCTCATCACAGGAGCAACCTCAGAGTTAAACCGCAGTGGCCCCGTCATTGGTCACGTCATCTGTGATGTGGAGGAGTCCTCTCATAGTAGGCCAGGCTGCCACCTTTCTCAGTAGTTGGGTTTCGATCCCCGGCCCCCTTCCCACTCAGGGGCCATGCTACTGGTACTCAGGAGTCTGCGTCACCCTGCCCAGCAGCGGAACCACTGGGCTATGAGAGGCACGCTGGCAAGCGGCCGATTTTGTGTACTTGAACCGCCTCCGTGCTATGCAAGCTTGGTAAAAACATTCGGGTCTAAGCGGGCGTCGAACCCCGGGTTCGAAAGTCGGGACGCGACGCATCTCCGCACTCGGCCACCACGGTCTGTGGAGTACGTCTAGCGAGGTGACGGGCTCCAACCGCTGTGGGTGTGCCAGCTTCACTCAAGATAGACTGCGGTTCGACTCCACGCAGCGGCGGCCGTTTTTCTCAGAGTCAGATCGTATTTTTAGGGCGTTCCGTTCGTAATACGCTAGCAGACCATAGCCCAGCCCGGGCGCGTTGAAAAAAAATTCTAATTTCGTTTATGAAAATCCACTTATTGGAGGACGGGTGGTGTCGAGCCCGGGCAACCAAGCAAACTGACCACCTCCCCCCTCAAATCTGACCTCGTACCTCTGACCGGAGAGGGAGATCCAGCCAAAAAGAAGAGAGATGTAGTAGGAATCGATCGACCGACCCAAGAGTCGTGAGCTGATGCCTCTTTGCTTTTAGCCACGACCGAACGTATGGTACAGAATGCCGAAGCGGAGTGACTGTAAGAGCCTTACCCATGATGAACGCCGCGCCCGCGACGCCGTCGTAGAACATGGGGTTGAAGAACTCGAGCACGGTGTACATGTAGTAGTTGGGCGAGAAGGACATGATGACGCCGACGATGCCCGCCACGCTGAGCCCGGCCAGCATGAGCGTGCGCCGGCCGAACTTGTCCGAGAAGCAGCCCGACAAGGGCACGCCGATGATGCGGCCGAAGTTGTTGAGCGTGCCCACCAGGGTGAGGCGCCACGCGTTGTCCACCGCGCAGGACGTCAAGTCCCACTGGAACGGAACGCGGCGTGACTCGATCGAGACAAAATGAAACAACGGACGGCAGGGGTGGTCGCAAACCTTACCTCAGTCATGATGGACAGATCCCTGTTGGGGTACATGTACTGCGTGCACTCCTCCGTCTCATTGCTGAAGGCCACTGTGCACGCGTCCCCCAAGTGCTTTGGTCCCCTGCCGACCGCCGCGGACGCCGCCGTGCCGGTGCGCATGATAGGGACGAACCGCCGGCAGGGGTCAGTCTTGTTGTCCAGGGTCGGGATGGCGGCCCGCAGCCACGCGGGCTCCATGTCCGTCGAGTCCAGGGTCTCGCACTCGGGCACGTAGCACCTGCGGCACAGAGTCGGTCGTCGCGGAGTCGGTGGCGGCCCGCGCGGCAGCCCGGGGGCAGGCGCCCCAGCCTCGGCCCCAGCCCACTGCTTGCTTGCCTGTGCTCGGAGCGCATCGTGGTGAACACGTAGGATAGGTAGAAGAGGGCTTGGAAGATGTACGGCACCGAGATGAGCGGGAAGGTGATGCTCTGGTAGCGGCCCCATTTGCGGCCGATGGTCTTCTCGAGGGCCTTGTCGATGTCCATCTTGCATCCACGACTAGATGTGGCTCTGACGGCACGAAATGAAACAGACACCGCCGAGAGTCACCGCTAAAATTCTAGTTTCCAGCTGGCGATGCCGCCACTTTCCTACCGGCGTCGTCTGTCTGTTCACTCCGTTCACTCGGTCCGGTGGTACGCAGTTTGCCACTTGTCGCCTTCCTCGCCGGCCGATGGTCTGGGGCCCTCTGGGGCCCTCGGGGGAGCCGGGGGTGCCGCGCGGGACGCGGCGGGGCCCCGAGGGGGCCGTCGTGGACGTCTTGGTTTCGCTGGCGCGGCTCGCGCGGCTCGCGCTGCTTGTGGAGCGAGTGCGGCTTGCGGGGCCTTGGACAGCCTCGGCGAGGCGAGCGCGGCGCGGCGACATGATTGGTTCTTAATAGAGCAGCGGGCCGCGCATCTAACTCGTGGCATTGCTTTGCGTTTGTCGCCGGCCGGCCTGGCGGGCCTGGCGGGCTCGGCCCAGTGCAGCGTGCGGTGCAGTGGCGCGCCGCCACGTGATTCGGTGCGCGGCGTGCGCAGGGGAAGGCCCAAGGGGTTTGCATGCAGGTGGGTGGCCAACTGGCCAGGCGGAAAGCAGAACGCGACAAGACACAAACAGTTCAGGTTTTTTATTTCAGAATAAATAAAACTTGACGTGAGCCCCAGCGAAGGGCCAAAAGAAGACAACAGTAGTCCTCAAACGAACGCACTCGCGAATCCCTATATCACTAGCTGACCGCAGTTCTCGAGAGGCCGCGCAACGAGCGCGGTGCCCGCCGCGGCCGCTGGGAGGGCGCTGCTCTCGGCGCTGCTGCTCGAGCCGATCGGGCCCAGCCCTGGCCCAGCCACGGAGCCCTCGGCCTGGACCCGGCCGCCGTGGCCTACCGCGGCAACAGGCCGCACTGTTCGACGCGGCTCGACGTCCTGGTGGCTGGCGCCCTCGAAGCACTTCCAGAAGCACGACGGCGACATCGGGGGAGTGCCCATCGAGGCAAGCCAAGCCCAAGGCAAGCCTCAGACCTCACCGCCCCTCCCACACATTCATCGTTACATTGGCCAATCCCAGAATAATTAGCCCCAATCAAACACTTGGGTTCAGAACGAACCAAGTGCGCGGCTACTGAAGGAAGTACACCAGTGCGCGGCTGGACGTGGCGCGCCGTGGCGGTCGTCGCGTGACTAGAGGTGCGTGACGAACACGTCCGGGATGGCGAGGGCCACCTCCACGGGTGGGTGCGTGGGCGGCGCGGGGGCCACGGACGTGGACTTGCGCCGCCGCCGGCCCAGCGCCTCGGCCTCCTCCACCGAGTCGGGGAGCTTCTCGTCGCCCACGTCGGGGAACGTGAGGGCGAGCAGGCCGCTGACGAGCGCCGCGGCGCCGAACACGAGCATGGGCAGGGCGTCCAGGACGCGGCCGAGGAGGGGCGTTTGCGGCGCCAGCACCGAGCCCACGCGGCCCATCGTGGCGCACGTCGCGAACAGCGTGGCGCGCACCGACGTCGGGAACAGCTCGGCCGACAGCACGTAGATGACGGTGAAGGAGATGGTGACGCACAGCTTGGCCAGCAGCACGGCCGCCGTCCGCGTCCACGGCGCGGCTGCACAGAGGAGACACGTTAGACACCACCCAGAGGGACTGCACTGGCTGCACGGCGATCGGAAGCGCACCTGTGGGCAGGAAGTGGTAGGTGAGGCAGCAGACGGCTGCCAGGATGAAGGAGCCGCTCAGGCTGGCGCGCCGGCCGAACATGTTCATGAGCCTGGCGGTGAGCAGCGCGCCGGGGATCTCGATGAGCACGACCAGGATGAAGTTGAGGTAGCGGTTGCCGGCCATGGTCACCGAGTTGATGGACAGGCCGTCGTACACGAACATGATGGCCACCCTGGAACACGGCATTTGACTTAGTGGCCCTCCGACCGCGTGACGGGGGTCATGGAGGGAAGGGCGGCACACTCACCACGCGAAGCAGCAGTTGAAGAGGCGGAAGGCGAGCACGCGCGACCGCAGCAGCGCCATCAGCTCGCCGGAGATGCTGCCCTTGTCGTTGCCGGGGCCCTCCTGGAAGCACACGGGGTCAGCGTCGTCGGGGAGGCACTGTGTCGTGTACTAGAGTGCACGGATCGCGTCGGCGCGTACCTGGGTGGCGCCCGACAGCTCAACCTTCTCGAAGTTTATTTGGCACGTGGACTCGGAGCGGTTCATCTTGGCGGCCTTCCGGATGATGTTCTGCGCGTCGCGCACCCGGCCCTTGGACACCAGCCACCGCATGGACTCGGGAAGGAAGAGCCTGCGGGCACAGGAATTTGTGAAGGTTAAAAATTCGTCGAGAGCTGCAGTAGCTTTGTGGAGGGCTGCGGGGGCTGACGGCGGGCTTACCACATGAGGGGCAGCGTGAGCAGTGCCGAGCTGTAGATGACCCGGAGCAGCCACCGCCAGTACGGCAGCACCCAGGCCACGCCGCCCAGCAGCGCCTGCCCCATGGCGAACACCACGTGGCTGGCCACGCTCCACGCGCCGCGCGCCGTGGACGGCAGCACCTCCATGCCTGCAGGACAACGAGAACGACGAGAACGACGACGAGGCGGTGAGGGTGGCGCGCCTCGCGTGGGCGGTGGTCGCCGTCAAGTACTCGGTGCTTACCCATGATGAGCCCGGAGCTGCCCATGCCGTCGTAGAACATGGGGTCGATGAACTCGAGCGTGATGTAGAACCAATAGTTGGGCGAGACGGAGCGCACGATGCCGATGACACCAGACACGGCCAGGGAGGCGAGGAGGATGGCCTTGCGCCCGAACCTGTCCGACAGGTAGCCGGACAGCGGGAGCCCCAGCACGCGGCCCATGTTGTTCATCGTGCCGACCAGCGTGAGCTGCCAGTCGCTGCCCGCCCCGCACGGCGTCAGGTCCCACTGCACAGGGTACACAGTGTCAGGGGCAAGGCCGGCCAGGGCCCGGTGCACGGGCACAGTGTCAGGGGCGAGGTGGGCCACGCTGCACGCGGTGCAGTGGCATCGAGTCATAGAGCGGTGTCTAAGGCGGGCACGGCAGTAGATGCAGCCGGCTTACAGTGCGAGCGACGAGTGCTCACCTCCGTCATGATGGACAGCTCCTTGTTGGGGTACACCCACTGCGCGCACTCCTGCGTCAGGTTGCTGAAGGCCTCGGCGCTGCAGGTGCTGCTGTCCATGTCCACGGGCACGACGGGCACGAAGCGGCGGCAAGGGTCGGGGGAGCCGTCAGCCAGGGGAACCGCCAGGGGCAGCCACGACGGCTGCAGCTCGGCCACCGCGCGCTGCCCGCCATCCTGGTCGCACTCCGGAATCAGGCACCTGTGCAGCAAACAGCGCCACAGTTAGCCCAAGCGGGGCCACAGTAAGTGTCCGATTTGCCAGTCTTTGGCTTCACGCGGAGCGGGCTTTTCTACCCCCGGCAGATTACTGTATGGATTTCACTCAGCCGGCCTCAGCTGCGCGAGCCGGTGAGAGAGACAGCCTCTGTCCGCGGGCGGCGAGCGTCAGCAAGGTTCTCATCGTCTTGCCGCAGAACCGAATTTTGTTTCGACTGTATTGATTAGTTGATTTTCCTTGTGACTGGTCACCCTTTTCCCTTATTGCGTTTCGACAAAGGAAATGGTTACCCATATGGGCTATCGATAATTACATACATTGGAATTAAAGACAATTTGCAACTCTCACAGGGATGAAATGTTGAAATGATGAAATGTTGAAATGATGAAATGAAATGAACCCTCTTGGTGGCGTTGAGCCATGGACCGAAAAGCGTTAGTGCGCTCGATACACAAAATTTTGATTTGTTCTCATTTGTTTTTCAAAAGTGGCACCCGGGTGGAGTTTCAAAGATCCGCACCGAGGCGCGGCGCGGCTTGCTTCGATGGCCACCAGTCAGGGCGGAGTATGTCAATCGTAAATCCATGGCAGATACGTCTGTCCGGTGACTTATCATCACTTTTTAGGGACGTCGCGAAGACCGATTCTGGTTGTCCCGGTTTGGGAGGCGCGGCGGCGCGGCGGCGCGGCTGGCGCAGGTGACCGTGCCCAAGGGCCGCCCGGCCCCGCCACGCCCCGCCCCACCACACTGGTCAGTCAGTGCGAGGCCCATTTCGAGAAAGAGACAGAGAGACTGTCTCTGGGAGAGAGGCGTTATTCGGGTCGCCTCTCTTCTCAGCGGCCCAGCGACCGAATGGGCGAATTTTTCAAGGTTACTCCACTCCGCTGACTCCATGCTGACTCGCTGTGTCAAATACCGGCCGCACGAGCCAGCCGATCGCTCAATGGCCGCGGCGTTTGGCGTTTGACCCGCAGTCGCAATAAATCTCCGTCTTGTCACCCTCCTTGCCGTCGCAAACAGTCGCAAACAGTCGCAAACAAGGCCCTCACAGACTCACCAGCGGCACGTGCGGCAGAGCCGGGCAGAGCGCTGCAACGTTGTTGCGGGTCCACTGTACAATCACTTCCCAAAGAAACTGGCTCGTCGATACGTGATGCGCAAGAGACTGCCCATCGTCCAGCTCTGAAAGTCACCTCGGCCCGGAGCATCGCCTCGCAGGGCTCAGTTTCTTTCGCCAAGTGCCCCGCCACTCCAAGACTCCAAGGTGCGCGCCGCGCGGCGCCGAGGTTCCTACCTGTGGTCCGATCTGAGCGTGGTGAAGACGTAGGACAGGTAGAAGAGGGCCTGGAAGATGTAGATCATGGAGATGAGGGAGAGCGTCACCAGGTGGAAGCGTCCGAAGCGCTTGCTCAGCGCCTCCATGGCGGACTCGAACTCCATCTTGGCGGGGGTGCTCACAGCGCGGCTCTGAAGGGTTCCTGGAAGCAGGGAAGCAACACGCGAGTGAGTCCAAGCGTCGCCGCGTCCTGCAGCAAGGCTGCGGGGCTGCAGGGGCGCGGAATGGGCGAGTAGAGAAACCGGCAAACTGTGCAGGGGCCCTCCAAGGGTCCTCGGAACGTCCCTGACAGGCGAAATGGATGAAACGAAGGCACAGCCGGGAGCCAGGGGCCAGGGCAGCCAGGGCCTGGAGCTGGAATGCACAGTTTCCAGGACAGGTTGTTATTTATTTCAGACTTGGCCGCGCTGCTGGGACTGAAGCCTGAAACGTTACTCTGCCGCGTTTTCGATTATCGACGTGCGACATCTCCTATGGCCCCTAGTCGAAAACAACGGCAGCGGCAGCAGCGGCATTCCAGACAGACACTGGGAGACACTCGGACACACGCCGTCAGTCTCTCCATTTTTTTCTCTCTCTCCCCATCACACACACACACACACACACGCGCGCGCGCGCGAGAGAGAGAGAGAGAGAGAGAGAGAGAGAGAGAGAGAGAGAGAGAGAGAGAGAGAGAGAGAGAGAGAGAAAGAAAGAGAGAGATTGAAGCCGGAAGGGAAAGGGTGTCTAAAAATAGCGGTCGGAGCTCCGATTGTGAAAGGACGCAGTTTCTATCTCTAGAGGTTCCGGAGGCGATTGTGTAAAGGAGGGAAATTCGGAACCGCTATGGCAGGTGTGGCGTGGCGGGCTGAGCGTCTGGGACTGAGAGATTCACAGTTCACACACGTGCGCGCGCACACACAAACGCGCACACGCAGTTGGGGGCGCCCACTCATCCATGGCATTGCCGCCATCTTTGTCTATCGATGGGTACAGCCCCACGACGCGACGACTATACCCTACGGGCAGCATTTTGAGTGGAAGCCTCCCAGCCCGGCCCCGCACCGCGTCCGCGTCATGGAGGGAAGCCCGCCAGCCCGCCTGCCCGCCAGCCCGCTAGCCCGCTAGCCCGCTAGCCCGCCCCGCGCGGCCAGAGTTCCGGGGTGGCCCAGCAGCGCGGCGCAGCGCGCGAGGGGCTGCCCCGTCTCTAATAGAAACGTCTAGAATGGAAACTTGAACGCACCACTTGGTGCACCACCGCTATGACACGCTCCTTTGGGGAATGCCTCGGCTGGGCGCGCTCGGTTCAGGCGGTCCAGGCGGTCCAGGCAGTCCAGGGTCACTGACACCAACAGTCACTCACCCACGGCCACCTTACACATTCACGGCACACTTGTTGCACTCACAGGGTGTTGCAGGTCGCTCGCTGCTGGTTCGGCCCGGTTCGGCGTGGCGGTGTTGACGGTGTTGGCGGTGTTGGCGGTGTTGGCGGTGTCTGGCTGGCTGCACTCAGCACGGCGGCTCGGCAGGGCTGGCGGCGCCCCCAACCCTATCGCACTGAGCCCCTCTCCGGACTCATTTGGCGCCGAGCTGCAACAGCTGCAACAGCAGGAGCAGGCGTGGCGCGCGCTGGACAGGAGCGAACCTCGGAACCTGACCGCCTGACCGCCGCGATGGTCCGACGCCGCGACAATACGCCCGGATGAGGACGTTGAGGACGGCGATGAAGCCCCGCACCGCGCCGCGCGCCCCTCCGCGCTCCACAGTGCCACGCCGCCGCAGCCACGCCGCGCGCCTCAGCCAACCCCGGCACGCTGCGGCCGCTGCGGCACGCTGCTCAAACTCTCTGTACGAACGATTAGGAAGAAAATCGAATACCGACCCCCACCCCTCCCCTCCCCTTCCCCTCCGGACAGCCCCATCCCCTCCCCTAACGTTTCGAGGGAACCAGTTCCTCCGCGACCCAGGCGCAGTACCCGCGATCTGGCAGGCCGGCAGGCCGCGGCCAGTGTCGCTGGACTCCCGCGCGAGATGACGCGGGGCGGGGGGCGGGACGGTGGGTCGCTGCGGGGCGGGGTGGCATGGCGCGGCGGGGCGGGGCGGGCGGGGCGATCGCGGCGGAGGGACTCCGCTTGGCAACAACCGGATACCCGGAGTGCCTCGGCCCAGACTATTGGTGGAGCAGCCCCCGTAGCCTGCAACCTGCAACCTGCAGCGCGGCGGTCGGCGCGGCGGACGAGCGGGCCGGGCCGCGGTGGGGCACGGCAGCACGGCAGTCCAGGCGCTGCACCGCGCTTACCGCGCTCACCGCGCTCACGACGCTCGCGTCGCGGAGTCACAGTCCGGTCTGGGGCCTGGGGTCCCATCCGCTGCCAGCACTCTGGAAGTGGGTTCAAACACCGCGACACTGTTCTTGGCCGCGGCCAGCCGCCCTGGAGCGCCAAAAACCCAAAAGCCCCATTAGGCGGCCGTTGCTGCAGATTGGACGTCGGCGAGGGGGAAGGGGGAGGGGGAGGGGCCCGCCTCGCCGCCGGACACCTTGCAGGGCCTAACTGCGGGTCGGCGACCTCTTAATCAAGTGACAAAATCTGGCGGCGGTGCATGTGCATTCGCGCTCTCGTCTGCTTTGGAGGGGGAGGAGGAGAAGGCGCATTCCGCGCAAATACTCTGGAAGTAGGTGATGGAGGCCGCCGTGCCGTCGCCGCCTCGCGGTGCCTGGCCGCCGCGACCAAGGTGGCGCCAGCGTTGAAAGCAGACGCGGAGGGCGGCGGGCCTCAAATGGACACTTTTCCTCGGCCGCGGACTCGCAGAAAGTCATCTTTTTTTGATGGTGGCGTTGCGGTGTGTCGCTGCACGCTGCAGGGACACATTCGGCGCAGGTAACGGGTCTTCCCTTCCCCTTGCCCCTCCCCCTTCCCCGCTCGCTGGATGTGTCCTTGGCTTTTGGACGCGGGGCGACGGGGCGACGGGGCGACGGGGCGACGGGGCGACGGGGCGACGGGGCGACGGGGCGACGGGGCGGCGCGGGGCGAGGCTGCACCAGGCACCGCCAGGCTCCGGTGGGGACGGGCACGGGCACGGGCACGGGCAGGGACGCGCAGAGACTTGGCCGCCGGGATTGCCGCGGGACAGGCCAAGAGGCAAGCCAAGAGACAGGGACCAGGGAGACGTGTTGCATCGGCGTTTCAATGGACCGGGCTTGGCCCGGCATCGGCCCGGCATCGGCCCGATCGAGTCCCACCGGGATCCTCCGGGCCTCCCCTCCCGGCTATCCAGGTCACCGCGCGGAGGCTGGATTTGGCGTTGAGATTCGACTGTGCTCCCCAACCCATCCCACTGCCCATCGTTTCGCCAGTCCTAAAAACCAGGATTTCACTCCAACTCGCTCCTCTGTCCAGTGCTAGCAGACAGTACACTTTCCATGCGTTTTGCCTCTCGTTCGTTGCACCGCGGTGCAACTGGTAGCAGAGCACCTTTGCCGCTGCAGCAGCGCGCTGTCTTCCATGCCATCCCACCGCGACACCGCGTCCAGGACGGTGCTCCCTTCCGCCCCCTCCCGCCCCTCCCGGCGGACCACGCAACGCCCTGCCACGCCCCGCTGCATCCTCCTCGAGAAACCAGTCCTGCAGGTCAACAAACCATGCATCTCCTAATAGCCAACCCACACCCAGGTGACTCTATTTTTAACAGAGTGAAATGGCGTGGATGCTGCAGGACGGCCCGAGGCAGAGGCAGCGCCGCGCTGCCAGGCTGCCGCCTCGCCGCGTTTCCAGTGGCGCGACCGGCGCGTCCGGCGCCGCGCGCTGCAGTGGGGCTGCAGGCGGCGGCGGCGGCGGCGGCCGGGGTGAAGAGAGGTCAGAGCGGCGTCGCGGCGCCGAGACCTCGCGGACTTCGCCGTCGCCGTCCTTGGCGGCCGCGAGATAAGTGCGGACCAATCCGGCGGCAGCGGCAGCCAATCGCGCGGCGGCCGCGGCCCGCGCGGGCTGACGTGGACGTGCCGAGCCTGAGCCACGCCGCTCGCCGTGCACCTCCACTGTGGTACACAGTGTGTGCGCCCCAAAGCCACGCTCCGCGGCTATAAACGACTCCGCACACAGCGGCGTTTGCCGCTTGGGCCGCTCGGGCGCAGACACTTTCTACACCGCACACGAAAATGATCAAGATTCGCTCTGCGACAGAGGCGGCCCTTTAACGGGTTTGGCTTTGGTTCGGGTGGGTGGAACGATAAGACGCGGACGCGAAAAGTCAGGTTGTCTCCCCCGGACTCAGGCATTCGTTCCAACCGATCGCACACTGGTAAAACTAAAGCGTGCATAAAGATACGCTTGAAGACATTACGCTTGAAATAAAGCATACACTGGAAATTCCCTTAAGCATTTAGATAGGGGGAAACTTGGCGGATGAACCTATTACGCTTGATTTGAAGCGCAAACTGATTACGCTTGAAAACAGAGGGTAATACTACGCTTTAGTTTTACCAGTGCATGATCAAGAAAGGATCCTATACCCGGGTCCCTAAAAACCTTTGTATTGAGAGTATCGTATGCTTCTGAGGAAATCTGCTGAAAAAAAAAAGGATCAGTCGCAGGCAGGTCGCAGTCAGAGCCGAAAAGACCTGGCCTGACCACCGAAGGGTGGCATGTATTTGATCCTGATTTTAATGAAAAGACAGTATTGAGTTCGGGGTCCAGTTAGCCGCGAAATGCAGTGGCGCCAGCATCAACAACACCGCTCAGCCTGGCAAAAAAAAAAAAAACAGACAACAACAAGAAGACTGGCGCATGCAAGTCGTAACGGCTCGGACGGTGGTGGCTGCCGTGCACTTGACCGTCATCGGGCGTCGTGTCGCCGAGTCGCCACATTCCCGAACAAGATCCGAATTAGCAGAGTGGCCCCGTTCGGAGTTCGGACCCGCCTCTGGCCGCCTCCGTCGTCCGGGCAGCGGTCACTCCAACTGCGAACGCATAGAGGGCGACCGCATACACTGCCCTGCCTGTGGGGGAGGTTAGGTTAGGTTAGGTTAGGTTAGATTGATTGATTAATTGTTTATTTAGAGAGAGAGAGAGAGAGAGAGAGAGAGAGAGAGAGAGAGAGAGAGAGGGGGGGGGGGACGAGAGGGGGAATGGCATATACAAGGCGACGCTCTGGCGGGCGCGGCGCGGCGAGGCGCCAGTCAAACAGTGACTTCCCATTCAAGCCGAGACAAGCCCGGCATCAGTGACCCTATGCTCCAGAAACGAAGCCACGACGGGCAGCTCAGTTACGTCATCTGCGACGCTGTCGTCGCTTCGCTGCCATGTCACCACGGTTTTCCACACGTGTTGTGCCGCCACGATTTTCGAGACGCTCTTTCATTTCGCCGTGAGCGCGTCATCGGCGGCCCCCCCCCCCCCCATTCGTCACGTCCCTGGATGAGGAGAGGCCAGCAGACTCTAGACTGGCCGTACCGCGGCGAGCCGTGCACGCCGTGGCGGTGCGCCGGGCTTATCGCTCCACGCCCCGAGTGCAGCGCTTGTCGCTGGTCGGACGGAAATGCAGACAGGCGATTGCTTCTTCGCGTCTATGGCAGTGCGCAGTTTCGGGGACATTGAATAACATCTCCACAGGAATTCGTTAGGGTTTCGGTGTATTTCGGTGAAAAAGTGGTTTTCTATTTCCTATGTACAACGTTGCTGACGGAGACCACCGCGTGCTAAGCAAAGAAGTCGTGCGGCGTCAAAGCTCCTCGCGGTCCTCTGTCGCGGCCTTCCCCTTGGCTCTGCGGGGCTTCTGGTCCTGCAACAGAGCAACCGCCAACCGTCACATCACCCGTTAGCCGCCCCAACAAAAGCCAACGCACGCAAGGGCTCACCTCCAGGCCGGTGTGCTTCTTGACGAACTTGACTAGTGTCTTGGCGTTCCTGGTTCCGTCGTAAACGGCAGGCTTCTCCTTGCCGCACCGCGGGTACAGCACCACGTAGGGGACGCCGACGATGTCGACGCCAGCGCTCCTGGGCTTGTACTTGCCCATGTCGATCTTGGCCACCAGCAGCGACGGCATCCCCGAGACTTGCGCGGCGACCTGCGCAGCGACAACACGCAAGATAGCAACTAGCCGGGCACCGCCGCGCGATAAGTTGCCTACACCGCTAGGCGCTGCCCGCTGCCCGGGTGGCTGCGTGATGGCCTGACGGCTTGACGGCCTGGCGGCCTGACCTTACCTCCTCGAAGATGGGCTTGAAAGTGCCGCAGTGCTTGCACGAGTCGGCGTAGAACATCACCAGGGCGTGGCGGCGGCCGTCGTACACCTCCTGGTCGAAGGTAGCGCTCGTCAGCACCCTGACGCCGTTCTCGGCCTCGACGGCCTCGGGTTCGGGCGCCTCCCGCACTGCATCGATGGGCTGGAGGGCGCCGCTCTGCACGCCGGCGATGAAGTCCCGCACGGCGTCCGCGCTCACCCTGTCCGTGCGCGGCTGGTACCGCTTCATCGAGGCGAAGCTGTACATCCTCATGGCGGGCATCGCGGTGGAGTTGGTCATGCCGAACGCGGTCAGCACCGCGGCGTTGTCGGCGTTGTCCACATTCACCGCCAGGAAGGACACCTGCAGCACAATATTAGTTGGTGGATTTCGAATGGTTTTACGTAGAGCAGCATTCCGTAGAAAATAGGTCTGACGTTGCTGACGCTCTCCAGAGCCACCGCCTGCAGCGTGTCGTGCAGCAGCTCGAAGTGGCCGGCCCGCCTGGACAGGAAGGCGATGAACATGGCCCTGTTGGCGTTGGCCCTCGCCCCGAAGTACTCGTGCGCCTCCTCACTGCGGTATTCGGCCACCAGCGGGCGCATCATGCGCTGCAGCGCCTTCGCCAGCGTGTCCACGGAGTGCTCCAGGCGCAAGTCGACGCGGCCCTCGTCAAACTGCGGACAGGAGAGCGGCGTTGCAGTCGACAGTCATTTGCATTTGACCGGAGCCAAGAGGCGTCACCCGGCACCTTCTTGAACACCACCACGGCGCCGTCCTCGGCGCTGAACTCGGCGAACAGCTCCTCGTCGTCTATGAGGGCGAACACAGCCTTGTCCACGGCGGCCGACGTGGCCTTGAACACGGCGGCCTCCTCCGAATCGACGTCCTGCGTACAGAGCGCTGGTCAGGCAAGGATGCTGACGGGCAGCGCAGCGGCGCGACCGCGACGGAGGGGGAGGGGGAGGGGGAAGAACGTACCGCGAAGAAGCCAACGACGGCCACGGGGTGCGCGTCGATGAGCTGCCGAGCCTCCGTCACAGACTTGGGCTTGTGCATGGCCAGGCCCATCTTGCGCTCCAGCCAGCGCACTAGGTTGGGCACCGACCGCTCTCCTGCGTTCAAAGGAACAGCTCAGAACAGATTAGCCCAATGAGAAGATGAGAAGCACCCGGTCCCGCGCGACTCGCGTGTTTTGCGGGCCAGTCCAGCCAGGACGCCGAGCCGAGGTCCGAGCGCCTGCGGAGCCGGGGATAGGCTGGCCCGTAAAGCAGGGCTGCGTGCCGGGACTGCCTTCCGCCAGGCGATTGCGATTGCGATTAATGGCTGGACCACATGATTGTCTGCCTTTCGGGCCCGCCCCGCCCGGCTCGCTGAGCACGCCATGCACGCACCGAAGAAGTCGTCGTGGCGGCCGTCCCGGTACATGCGGATGGTGGGGAACCCACTGACGCCCTGGTCCTTGGCGAGGCGCATCTCCGCCTCCACGTCCACCTTGGCCACCGTGAGGGCCAGGTCGTCACGGTCCCGCAGGACGACGGCGAGGGCCTCGAACATCGGCCAGGTGGTCACGCAGTGCTTGCACCACTTCGCGTCTGCCGACATGCCAAACAGTGTGATATTTGACGGTCACGACTCCAAAGCCATGCATGCTCATACCCTGGAAAGGCAACCTACAGTAGTACACCAACAGCGGCACGCCGCTTTCCGCCTGCTCGAGGAACGTGTCCGTCGTCAGGGCCACGATGTCGACGGCCTGGTCCTGGTCCTCGGCGTCAACGTCGGCGTCAGCGTCAACGTCGGCGTCCTCGTCGGCGTGTTTCGTCCCCACAACCTGGCCACCGAACCCAGACACCGCCAAGACGACGGCCAGCGTTGCGGCGTAGCGGAGCCGGAGGGGCGCCATCGCGGTGCTCGTCTTGGCAAATGACAGTCTTGAGGGAACGCCAGAAGATATACCTGGTGATGTTTTTGTGACCCCGAAGGGCGGATTGCAGCGAGGTTGCCGACTGTGGTGACAACGACGACGCCCGAGCTGGCCCGGTCGTTGCTCTCTTGGTTCGGCGGCCAACGCAGCCTTGGGTGGCTAGAGTTGAACAGTGACCGACGGTTTTTTTTTATTCCTAAGTCAATAATAGTCATGATTTCGAACTATTGTCATTGCGAGGAAGTTCGTGAAAGCCGGTGAAATCTGGCACATCGGATAATGGGAGAATTACTGACTTAGTTCAATGTCGTTCGAGGACGAGGACACAGGCTCCGTCTTATCGCAAAGTAAACATTATTCGCGACGCACAAAATGCTTGGCGGCGCCCAGTGTAAAAGGGGGGGGGAGTCGATGGGGAGGTCTCCTCTCTGGCTGAATGGTTTGCGTAGCTCGCAGGTGAACAACGGCCTCATCGCCTGGCTTAAGCCCAGTAACGCTAGCGAGTTGTTCATTTCTCCTACCTAAATGTTCGCCTACCTGTCTATTTCGCCTACCTATATTTCGCCTACCTAATAAAAATATTGAATAAAAATATTCAATAAAATATTGCCATTTTTCGCCTACCTATAGTTCGCCTACCTAATAAAAAAATTAAATAAAAATATTCAACAAAAAAACGAAAAAATCGGCATACGGTTTTTTGTTTGCCGTATACGGCTTTTGGTCTGCCTCATCCGGTTTTTGATTTGCCGCATACGGTTTTTTGTTTGCCATATACGGCTTTTGGTCTGCCTCATACGGTTTTTGATTTGCCGCATACGGTTTTTTGTTTGCCATATACGGCTTTTGGTCTGCCTCATACGGTTTTTGATTTGCCGCATACGGTTTTTTGTTTGCCATATACGGCTTTTGGTCTGCCTCATACGGTTTTTGATTTGCCGCATACGGTTTTTTGTTTGCCGTATACGGCTTTTGGTCTGCCTCATACGGGTTTTGATTTGCCGCATACGGCTTTTGGTCTGCCTCATACGGTTTTTGATTTGCCGCATACGGTTTTTTGTTTGCCATATACGGCTTTTGGTCTGCCTCATACGGTTTTTGATTTGCCGCATACGGTTTTTTGTTTGCCATATACGGCTTTTGGTCTGCCTCATACGGTTTTTGATTTGCCGCATACGGTTTTTTGTTTGCCATATACGGCTTTTGGTCTGCCTCATACGGTTTTTGATTTGCCGCATACGGTTTTTTGTTTGCCATATACGGCTTTTGGTCTGCCTCATACGGTTTTTGATTTGCCGCATACGGTTTTTTGTTTGCCATATACGGCTTTTGGTCTGCCTCATACGGTTTTTGATTTGCCGCATACGGTTTTTTGTTTGCCATATACGGCTTTTGGTCTGCCTCATACGGTTTTTGATTTGCCGCATACGGTTTTTTGTTTGCCATATACGGCTTTTGGTCTGCCTCATACGGTTTTTGATTTGCCGCATACGGTTTTTTGTTTGCCATATACGGCTTTTGGTCTGCCTCATACGGTTTTTGATTTGCCGCATACGGTTTTTTGTTTGCCATATACGGCTTTTGGTCTGCCTCATACGGTTTTTGATTTGCCGCATACGGTTTTTTGTTTGCCGTATACGGCTTTTGGTCTGCCTCATACGGGTTTTGATTTGCCGCATACGGCTTTTGGTCTGCCTCATACGGTTTTTGATTTGCCGCATACGGTTTTTTGTTTGCCATATACGGCTTTTGGTCTGCCTCATACGGTTTTTGATTTGCCGCATACGGTTTTTTGTTTGCCATATACGGCTTTTGGTCTGCCTCATACGGTTTTTGATTTGCCGCATACGGTTTTTTGTTTGCCATATACGGCTTTTGGTCTGCCTCATACGGTTTTTGATTTGCCGCATACGGTTTTTTGTTTGCCATATACGGCTTTTGGTCTGCCTCATACGGTTTTTGATTTGTCGCATACGGTTTTTTGTTTGCCATATACGGCTTTTGGTCTGCCTCATACGGTTTTTGATTTTCCGCATACGGTTTTTTGTTTGCCGTATACGGCTTTTGGTCTGCCTCATACGGGTTTTGATTTGCCGCATACGGCTTTTGGTCTGCCTCATACGGTTTTTGATTTGCCGCATACGGTTTTTTGTTTGCCGTATACGGCTTTTCGATACCCCCCTGCAACAAGCAACTATCTACGCCCACTGTCTCGATAACCGACTATCTACGCGCGCTCTCCCGACAACCGGCTATCTACACGAGCTGTCTGGATAACCGTCTATCTGCTTTCTCCACCTCGCGAGATTGAATGCTTTTATTTATCCAACCAATTTAGTTGCCCTCGCAAAACCTTTACCAAAACTTGTCAAAAGTTTGTCAAAGCTAGATTAAGTATGGTTTAAACGGGTCGCTTTAAGTGTCATGGAGAAAAATACTTCGTTATACGACAACCCTAACCTCGCTACGATGTTGGATAGTCGGTTATCCAGACAGCCCATGTAGATAGCCGGTTGTCGGGAGAGCGCCCGTAGATAGTCGGTTATCGAGACAGTGAGGGTAGATAGCTGCTTGTTGCAGGGGAGTATCGTTTTGGTCTGCATCTCATTCAACGAACGTTAATGAAAGCAGATGATACTCGATTATGGTTTTCTTATACGGGATAGAATGCGGGCTCATTTCAAAGATAGTATTTAAAATTGTGTATGAAACAAAATACATAGACCCGAGTGAGCCGGGCCGAAATGGAAGGCATTGTTGCGCAATATACTCCGCGCCGTGGCAGGCGGGGAGGGATTGTCAATGCAAGGAGGGGTGCCATTGTTTACGCCCGGTGCCGCTGGCGCTGTACCGAGGAGGGATTGTCGAATTCCGCGCAGGCTGCGCCTCATTGCCAGCCAGCCAGCCAGCCACACGCACCAGCCCGCCCCGGCCGCCAGCCCCTATTATATTGTTAGGATACGCGCTTTTCTGGACTCGAGAGTAAAAGCACGCTGACACCTTCATTTGTGTATAGTAGTTTTAAGTATGTTTCAAGTGTGAAGGTATCATCTGCTAAAAATCGGCGGCAAAAAGTGGCAATACGAAAGTCTCAAGGAGACCCGCCGATCAGCTTCGGTGTTCTTATGGGAACCGGGCCTTCATCCGACGCTCCCTGCCGCGCAATTCGACAGATTAGTGGGTTCGTATTAGGCTGGCCCACCCGAAGTGCGCGCGGTTTCTGTGGTACAGTGAGAGTCCAGATTCAGAGGCCTTACCTCAGAGGGGTCACATTGGGTATTTGAACCCGCGACCCCGAGTGCCGAGTCTAGTCAACTCCTCTACCCTGACCGCTCAGCCACCGAACCAGCTTGTCGGCGGCGATGTCGCAACTCCTCTTGAGCTGCCGTTCGAGAAATCTGGTCCCGAAAAAATGGTACTTTGAGCGGTCTCGAACCCGGGACCTGCTGCTTCCCACATCATGCTCTTAACCACTGAGCCACCGGGACGCCATGGCACCCGCCCTGCCTGCGCTGGTACTCAATCTTCTCTGGATATACCTCCCCAAGCAATTGGTCGCCGAAAAAATTGTGTGTACTACCGGTCCCGAACCCGGGACCTGCTGCTTCCCACATCATGCTCTTAACCACTGAGCCACCGGGACGCCATGGCACCCGCCCTGCCTGCGCTGGTACTCAATCTTCTCTGGATATACCTCCCCAAGCAATTGGTCGCCGAAAAAATTGCGTATACTACCGGTCCCGAACCCGGGACCTGCCGCTTCCCACATCATGCTCTTAACCGCTGAGCCACCGGGACGCCATGACACCCGCTCTGCCAGCGCTGGTACTCAATCCTCTCCGAATAAACCTCGTCAAGAAGTCGGTTGCCTCTGCCGAAAAATATGGTCATGGTACTAGTCTCGAACCCGACCTGCCAGTCAGGAACGCAGCACTCTAACCACTGCGCTACTTGGTTGCTACGCACAGCGCTCACCCCATCGCCGAAGTTATTATTTGTCCAGCATCAAGCAAGATGGGTGGCTATTGAAGTTTGGCGCTAGGTTAGTGGCGTGCATACCAACCTGGTAGCGCCGTGGTTAGGGTGCTGCGTTCCTGACTGGCAGGTCTCGGGTTCGAGGCTAGTGCCATGAGCATATTTTTCGCCGGAGGCAACCGACTTCTTGACGAGGTCTATCCAGAGAGGAATAAGTACCAGCGCTGGCAAGGCGGGTGCCATGGCGTCCCGGTGGCTCAGCGGTTAAGAGCATGATGTGGGAAGCGGCAGGTCCCGGGTTCGGGACCGGTAGTATACACATTTTTTCGGCGACCAATTGCTTGGGGAGGTATATCCAGAGAAGGTTGAGTACCAGCGCAGGCAGGGCGGGTGCTATGGCGTCCCGGTGGCTCAGCGGTTACGAGCACGTTGTGGGAAGTGGCAGGTCCCGGGTTCGGGACCGGTAGTACACACAATTTTTTCGGCGACCAATTGCTTGGGGAGGTATATCCAGAGAAGATTGAGTACCAGCGCAGGCAGGGCGGGTGCCATGGCGTCCCGGTGGCTCAGTGGTTAAGAGCATGATGTGGGAAGCAGCAGGTCCCGGGTTCGAGACCGCTCAAAGTACCATTTTTTCGGGACCAGATTTCTCGAACGGCAGCTCAAGAGGAGTTGCGACATCGCCGCCGACAAGCTGGTTCGGTGGCTGAGCGGTCAGGGTAGAGGAGTTGACTAGACTCGGCACTCGGGGTCGCGGGTTCAAATACCCAATGTGACCCCTCTGAGGTAAGGCCTCTGAATCTGGACTCTCACTGTACCACAGAAACCGCGCGCACTTCGGGTGGGCCAGCCCAATACGAACCCACTAATCTGTCGAATTGCGCGGCAGGGAGCGCCGGATGAAGGCCCGGTTCCCATAAGAACACCGAAGCTGATCGGCGGGTCTCCTTGAGACTTTCGTATTGCCACTTTATGCCGCCGATTTTTTCGTTTTTTTGTTGAATATTTTTATTTAATTTTTTTATTAGGTAGGCGAACTATAG